CAAAAAAAGATGCTATCACCACCCTGTAACTTCCTTACCTGAGGATCTTACCTTCTTCATGAATATACTACAGGACACCAAAAGTTTGATCCCCACTAAGCAGAGCACAATCCTAGACTTCTTTTCTAAAATGGGCAAGGTGGTACTTGCCTGTAATCTGGGTACCTGGGAGGATCACCATGAGATCAAGGTCAGTCTGGCCTACACAATGAGTTCAAGACCAGCCTGAACTATACAGCAACCCTTGTTCTCAAAAATACAACAAAAAACAAACAAAAACTTCAATCTAGATAATGAACCTATGGTTCATTGATATGTTGGTGCATAAATAACAATGATTCTGCATTTACTTTCTCAGGATAATGTAAAAACTAACATTAAAAAAAAATACAGTGTGTAAGGGACTGGGGATTTATCTCAGCAGTGTAAGCACCTGCCTTGCAAGCAGGCAGGTCGTGAGTCGATCGATCGATCCCCAGTACTGATTAAAAAAAAAAAATACAGTGTCCCATTATGTAGTCCAGGCCACCCTCAAACTCCATATCCTTCTGTCTCAATCAGCTTAATTTTTCATAATAGGATGAAATCGTGTATCCAGTTGGAACAAAAACTTCATCCAGTCTGGGCTATGGTGGTGCCACACCTGTAGTCCCAGCTCTCAGGAGACTGAGGCAGGAAGATAGCCACAAGTCTGAAGCCAACCTGAACTACAAAGTGAGACCCTGCCTCTAAGAACCAAAACACAAAAAAACCTTTCATTCAGCTAGGTGTGGTCATGAAAGCCTGTAATCCCAGCTAGTTGGAGACTGAGGCAGGACTGCCTACGAGTTCCACACCAGCCTGGGCAACTTGGCCAAAGTGTGTCACAAACTAAAATTAAAAAGGCTGGGAATGTAGGTCATCATTCTCAGAGTGCTTCCCTAGCATGCACTAAGTCTAGGTTCAATTCCAGTACCTAAGAAAGGAAAAACTCATCTGCTGTTAGGAGCAACTCTCCAATATGGGAGGATAACATTACGGAAGTCAGCAACAGAACAGTGTGTTTGTTCAAGATTTCATTCTATTAAAGAGGTCAAGGGGGGCCAGGGATTTAGCTCAGCGGCATACACGCCTGCCTGGCAAGCACAAGGTCATGAGTTCAATCCCCGATACCACAAAAAAAAAAAAAAAAAAAAAAAAAAAAGGTGAAGAATATTAGGCTTTGCAGAACTGAAAAGTGGTCTTGATGGTTTAACAGAATTATTTAACACCAGAAAAGACTCTCACTTGTTTTCCTTCGATTGCAACAGTTGAAGTTAAACCTACACAGTAAAACCATCCATATCGTGAAAGCACTAAAAATGTTAAGAAATTGAGTATTCTAGTCGAAATCTGACTTAAACATCGGGGTTAGAGTGTGGCTTAGTACTACAACGAGTGCTAAGCCCTTTCCTAGGTTCAGTCCCCAACAGCAAAAAGTAAACATTAATTTTTTAAAAAAATCACCACCTTTAAAAGTAGCTTTGTGATTAAAATGTAAATCCGACCCTTCCTGTTATAAATTTCAGCCTTGTGAAGCACAGGTAGGTCCTTCCACTCTCTACAGTTGAATTTAAAGTTCTAAAACACTGAAACAGGGGCCAAGCCTAGCTATCTTACCACCATCCCATTGGTGCAGAGGAAGCCCCGCCCCGCACAGGCACAGTCATTGAACATCAAGGGAACTCCAGGAAAGGTTGTCCCGACCACATTTTTAGGGCTTTACTGACTGCCCTTCCCCCATCACCACCAGCGCAGAAGCGTGGTCACATCACCAGCTGCACCAGACCGCGGACTGTGCCCCGAGAAAACCTTGAGCACCTCTTCCCGGTAATTACAACCGAGAGGAGCACCGTGACCAATCTCCCACGATACTAGTAGTATGATGCTATCCACTCTGAGGGGTGCGAGGCGGGGGACATCAGCTGCGGTCCTCGTGCCCCAGGAAGAAGGCATGGTTGAACCTCCCAGAGTACGCCCCGACACCTTTAGAGCTCCAGCCAACAGAGCCCCTCCCTCCCGCGGGACACGGCGGAGCAGACGTAGGCGCCTCCAGTCCCAGGCAAACCAGACAGCGGGCTTTCCTGAGCACCGCCTCCCAGCCTAGGAGGCAGAGACCTGGGTGGTGAGCAGGGGAGGAGTTAACAGGGGGAGGGACGTCGGGCTCAGTACCGCGCCTCTGGCCAACCGGATCCCAGCACATAGAGGACGCAGACCTCAGCCCCCTTGCAGCCGCGCCCGGAACCACACGCGGGAGACCCCCTCCCGGTCCTCTCACCCGGCAGGCGCAGCGCGGCTGTGGCCAAAGCCCCGCCCACCGGGGAGGCGGTGCCTGCCCCGCCCGCCCGCGGAGCCCCTACCCCGCCCCTTTCCCCACCACCGCACGCGCGCACCGGCCCCGCCCCCGAGCGCGGTCCAAGAGCCCGCCCCCTCCGCGCACCGGGGCTGCGCTCTCCTCCCCCTCCCGCGCCAAGCGCGCCGCTCCGCCCCCGCCCCTCACATATCCACACGCCTCCCGCCCGGCGCTCTACGGGAAGCCGAGGAGGTCAGCCCCCCCCAAAATACACGCCCTCGAGCCCGGCGTTACCCGCCACCCAGGCTGCCGCCCGAATCCGGTCCAGCATGCTCTCACCGCAAAGCTCCTCAGCCACTCGGTGCTGCGCGTCCCCCTAAGCGTGAGCCTCGCACTCAGCGGGGAGGCCCGGGAACAGCGCGGGGCGCAGGCCCGCCGAAGCGGACTGGCAGCGTCCTCTCGGCTCACGGAGCGGTCGCAGGCCCTGGCGCCCAAACTGGGAAGGAGGGAGGGAGGGAGGGAGGGAAACTCCGAGGGGGAAAGGGGAGGGGGGAAGATGGAGAAATCGTCTCCGCCGCCTCTACCGCCGCGGCCGCTTCTCTGTTACCCGGGAAATCCCGCCCACTCCCCAGGCCCGCCCCGCCGAGGGAAGGCTCAGCTTCGCTCTGCCACAGGGCACAGTTTACGTTCATCAAAATCTTAGCCAATCACTGTGCCCCGCCTGCGTACGTTCCGCCCCTTCCCCCTTGGCTGGGAAGGGAGGGGGAGCCGCTCATCTTCTCCACGCCCCTATTGGCGCGGAGCGTCCCTAACTCAACCCCGCCTATTGGAGATGGATCGCTGAGTCCCACCCCCAAGCCTCCACATTATTGGAGGAAGCGAGGAAGCTCTTTACATGTCATTGGAGGAACCCACATGACCCGCCCCTTACCGCCGGAACCACAGGCCTAACAAATCGGCTCCCGCCTCCGCCGGTCTTCGCATTGGAAGCTACCTTTGGCTCTCCCACTGCCCTAGGAAGGTAAGTAACCGATGTAGGGTAAAATGTCCGTAAGTGAAACAGGCTCCTCCCACCACACTGCCGGCCAGGCCCCGCCCCTTCAGCAGTCGGATTGGCTATCTCAGCACCGGTGGTGCCCCCATTGGACGCAGCGCCCGTCCAGGAAGGAGCCGGTTCCGCCCCGTGCGAGAAGGCTGAGCCTCGGCAGTCCTTTTGTGGAATGTTTACACTAGAGACTGAAGCTCAGAGTTCCAAGGCCCGGGACAGAAGGGGTGCGCGGCGCAACAGCGAGACTCGAGACCCTTCGATTAGCAGGCAAAAGGTGATAGTATTGCCACCCCGGAGGATTCGCGTAGCCAAACAATGAACAAGTGCCTCATCCTTTCCACACAGTCATGTTTAAACTTAGGGATGCTGCCTTCCCGTAAACACCAGTACCTGGAGCGACATAGCAAGCAGAGTACAGAATTCAGCTTTAGAGCCCGCGGCCAGGGAAGGCTGCACATTTCCCCCTTCCTATACCTGCTGGCTCGGGAGGGCAGGGATCTCTGAACTGGGCGGCCCCTAGAACCCGCTGCCTTCAGACCCTCCGGAATATAGTGCGGAAGAAAGACACTCACGATTTCCCGGGCAGATCAGGAGGCTTTCTTAGGCTGCAGGAACCGAGAGCCAAAGGCAAAGATCTCAAGAGACCACAGAAAAAAAACCTAAGAGATACACTCACTCAAAGCATAAAAATTCTAGAGTTAGTGTTAAAAGATTGAACAGATTTCCACTGGCGAGTGCCCATAGTCTCAGCTTTTGAAAACGTTGCAGTAAGACCGCTGGCGTCCAGGAGGTATGGACAAAATGAGTACTATAGCGATATCCATTTTAAAAAGGACAGCTGTTGGCCGCCTCCTTGGCCAAACTGTGTAAGTGGCAGTTCCTAAGCCGTCTCTGGGTAAAGAATAACGCCACGAACACAAAAGGTGCTTGCGGTAACTAGTTACTTTTATTTATTCACCAAATGGGGCGTGGGCCCGATCTGGCCTTGCTTTGGGGGCGCTCTCGCAGCGCCAGGAGAAAGGGCGGGCCCAGTGTTCCCGCTTTTTCCTGCAAAAAGAGATCCTTCCAGACGTAGGTCCACCAGTCCTCCCCAGGCGATCCAGCGGATACGGCTAGAAACCGGTGCTGGCAACAGGTGGCTCTGACTCCAGGGATAGCCTGAAGCCGCGAGGCCACAGCAGAGTTGCGAACTCCACGAACAGCCAGCAGGTGGGAGCAGCCTACCACAGTAACCAAGCCAAGCCTGACTGGAGCCAGAGCTCTAAAAATAAGTCAGACCGACGCAAGCGACCCCAGGCCAAACCGCTCGGAGCTCATGTGGCCGCGGCACTTCGGCTGGTCTAAAGCCACCTTCTTCCCCTGAACTGCAAGCCACACGCGGCATCCGGACAGCAAAGCCACCCCAAACCCACGACAAAGTTAGGCCATTCCCACGCTCTCCTTGGCCGCGGGCACGAACCATCCTGGATTGTACGTGCTCAAAGGAACTAATCCTAGGTTGTCAAGACTTTTGGAGACGGGCAGCTAAAGACACGGCCAGCTTCCTCAGGGTTGTTAGGCTTAAGCTAAGGGACGCCAGGAAGCACAGCCGACACGCTATGGCATCCAAACTTCAATGCATGGTCCCGGCCATTGAATTACCCCTCTTTTCCACGCCCGCAGAACCTCAGAGGTATGCGTCTCCCAAATCCACTTCATAGGTTAACGGCCTAGCTTCAACCCGGGGCTTTAGATCTCAAGTCTTGGAGGAATCTTTGTGTGCTACCAGTGTTTCCCGCCCCGCCTCCCCGGCGCCGAGCTCCGAGCCCCACACTTCCGGGCGGGAGGGCAGTTGGAGAAGCTGGGCGGATCTCGTCCATGTGCGGGGCGCCCTTCCGATCTCCGGAGGGGGCGGACTTCCCCTCTACGCTCACTCCTTCGGAGGGGGGCGTGACTACCCAGTCCGCCAATCAGAAGGAAGGGTAGGGTTTTGCGCCTGACGTCAGGCGCAGAACTCCCCTCTTCCACGAAAAAAAATCCTAGCAGCTTAAACACCAGCCCGCCCTCCCGATAGGCGGTGCTCAGGAGAACTCCACCCAATCCACATCCCAGAAGGGAAAAAGGGCGTCTCACCCAACCAGTGGAAGACAAGAGGAGGCGGAAGCTCCGGGGAGCTCGGGGTGGGTTGGGGGGGGGAAGAAATGGCCCCGCCCCTCGGGTCCCCTCCGGGTCGCTTGTACAAGCTGCGGGCAGAGCAGATAGTAAACAGTCTGGGCCGGCCAGGACGTCGTAAGGGCTCGAGGACCTGGCTCAGCCCCACCCTCGCCCTCGTCTCCGTGGCTAGCGTGGGAGCGTCCCCACGCCTCCCGCCCGCTGATGCATTCCTTTCCCGGCCTCTCGCGTGGAGTTTTCCCGGGCGCCGACCTTCACAGCCCCTTGCAGGCCACCCTCATGGACACGGCCGGGCGCTAGCGCTAGTCGGCTCCGGATGGAGGGGACCAAGTCACAGCCGGGAGGGAGTGGGCCCCCCACACACACACACGAGTGGGCGGAGAGGGACCCACTCGGCGCTGCAAGGCTCGACGGAGCGCGCGCTCGGGTCCACGCCCCGGCCCAAGTTGGAGCCCGGGGTCGGCGAGGTAGGACGGCTTCCTGAGCCTCTAACAACCGCGACTCGCAACTTTGCCGGGGAAGTCGCCGAGCACTGTTATTAGACCGGCGTTGGGGATGTAGGGTTGCTACCGGCTCGGCTCTGCCAACTTGGGCTCCCGGCCCCGCCTCCGCCCCGCAGCCCGCCCTTCGCAAGGAATTCTCCGCCTTGTTTTATACAGTATTTTTTTAAGGAAAAATGGTACAGCCTGAGCGGAGGCTTGCCAGCCGGCCGAGCCCACCCTTGGCGCAGCGATACCCATGAGGCCGCAACTAGGGACCCTCCACCCCACCAGGAAGCCCGGCGGGGACACTGGCGAGCGAGTGGCACCAATGGGCTTCCTCCCGGCCGCTTCCCCTGCCCCGCTTTGGCCCCCAGACCCGAGTCCTCCTGCCTCGGCCCCGGGGCCCGCGACGCCCACGCCACCCACACGGGCGGCAGCCTAGGAGGCCAGCGACCCCGGACGCCTGGAGCGGACCGATGGGAAGCAGCTGTGCACATACCTTCCGACCGGCGAGGACCCTGGGCACGCCCCCCCATTCACCATTGGCTCTCACCCCTGTGGCGTCGCTGGGCCCGCCCCCTCCGCACCCCGCCTCTATGCCCTGGAGCGCCCCCTCCCTCCTAAAGATAATGAAGAAACCGCCGGGAGTGGGAGGCATAGAGGCTGCGAGGGGCCAGGGGCACAATGATTCAGGTCTAGGATGGGGACGCTGAGAAGAGGCACCTCATTTTCCTTCCCTCGCCCAAGCCCCTTTGAGCCACGCAAAGAGACTAGCAGTGACGCCCTTGCAATCGGCTGGAAGGTACCGGCAGAATGGGTTCCGCTCGCTCTGTTGGGCGCCTACAAACAGCTATGCGAGCAGGAAGCCTTAGGTTCGAGGACACCCGACATCGAAAACGGGCGGACGGGCGTCTCCGTGGCCTGTTGTGAGGTGAGAGGTTCATTCCACTCTCGACCAGGAGTAGATGCTAGAAGAACCTGAGGCCCGGCAGGAATGTGCATGTAAACAGATATACAGAGGCGCCCAAGAAGGAAACCCCCGGAAAACTCTTGGAGGAGGTAGCATTCAAGGTGGGTTTGAAAGATTCATCCAGCAGAAATGAAGAGACAGGTTATTTTCAGCAAAGGTCAGGAAGGAAGGCAAGGGAAACCTTAAAGCCTTCACATGTACTGTGGCTCTCCAGGCTTGGAGAGATGAAAACGTAAAACTGGGTTACAGTGGTTGGACTTGCACAGACCCCAGGACTGTAGTTGAAAATACCTCTTAACTCGCAGCCCGGTAGGTTTGGAGGGTGAGCTAAGGGAGGGTCATCTTCCAGGAGTGGTGTGGAGACTGCAGAACTACATCTTGTGGGTGGAACAGGCTGGGGAAATCAAGAGAGGCTTGTGGTCTTTGTCCACACCACTATTTCAGAAGACTTTCCCACCCTCTGCAAGCGCTCAAGTTAAAGTTGACTGGGATCTTTCCCTCCATGGTTTGCTGTTCATCCTGACTTCCAGTTAGAAGTTTGTGAGCCAGGACCACTCGGATGTCTGTGTTCAACAAAACTAGAGCTAAAGTCAAGGATGCTCTTGTGATCCAGACAGACTTTCTTTAGGCGCTGAGGGAAAAAAAAAGACAGTGATGTGGCTTCCAGATGCATGTGCAGGTTTGGAGGGCCTTGGCACCCTAGAGGCAGAAGAGAATCCTGATAAACCCCTGAGAGAAGACTGAGCCAGGGCAGGAGCAGTGGACAAGAAAAACTAATTTTTTTGAGAAAGATTGAAGGGGTGCCTTTTTCAGTGTGGGCAGCAGAGGAAGGAAAAAGGAAAAGGGCTTTACACTTAGCATGGCCAATGCCTGGTGGTGGTATCCTAGGCCAGATCCTTCTTCCTTGGGGGTCTTAGCTTTCCTGTGAAATGGTTTGGAAAGCCAAAACAGGAAGATGACAAGTTCAAGGCCAGTTTGGGCAACATAGTGAAGCTCTGTCCCAAAATAAAGTATCAAAAGGAGCCAGGTTACCAGCTCAGTGACAGAGTGCTGGCTCCACATATGCAAGACCCTGGGTTCAGTCCCTAGCACCACCCAAGGGATAGGTGCTAAAGTTGAGAGATGGGGCATTTGCCACTAAACAGAGAGAGCAGGTAGGAGGAAGTGTTGGTTTAGGAAGGGCATTGGGTCTCTTGGCTGCAAGCATGGGGTGGGACCCACAACTTGGGGACAGGATCACTGCAAGAAAGTCATGCTGAGGAGGGAGGCCTAGCTAGCATGGAAGTCACAGTCCCCCTGCCTTGGGTGCAGATCGAGTTTACCTGTATCAGAACAGATTCCCTTATGTCTAATCCCATCTCAGGTCCCCATTGTGTCTTCAGGGTTCTGCCCTGGATGTATGTGTGATGGATGCTGTGTTATTAGAGGGGGGTATGGTTCAGAAAAAATGGTCCAGATGGATGTTGAGTCCTTGGTTGTGCATCAGCTTCCTCCTGTCTAGCAGCACAACATTGCAACCCTTGTCCTGTTTTAAGGACTCAGCATGATCCTAAGATGAGCTCTGTCACCTAATGAGAGTTTGAGCTTCCCCTCCCCTCTTTTTCAGTGCTAGGGATGGAACTTGTGTGTACTAGGCCAGTATTGTCCCATTAGCGCCATCTATGGCATCTGTAGAGCCTGTAGTCTGTCATGTGATTGACCCTGAATAGCAGGCATGTACTGTGAAGGAAGTTGTTTCTGGAGGATTTGCAACCTCAGAGGTTAGCCACCCTGTCTTCCACCCTGAAAACCACCTAGACCAATCTGCTGGAGGCCTCAGGATTGTTGCCCCATTCCTCAGGCTACCTGCAAGGACAAAACTGAAGGGATCTGAAATCTGGGTAAGGGACCACCCCGTTGGGGAACCGCACTGGGAGGCCAGATTCCAATGCCAGGAGGCTTCTTCTGTATGAAGCTTTCTCAAGGTTTTGTGAGTTAAGGATTGTCCATACTTACAAGTAAGCAAAGTGAGCCTCTGAGCAGGGTGGGCCTTTCTGGGTCCAGCCCATACACCTTTTTGTACCTTCAGGCTGGTAACCCAGGGAGCACCCTGTGGATACACTCTGCCTCCCGTCCACTCCATACTCCTCACCTCCTAACTCCAAGGACAGTTTGTCCCCAGGTAGTTCTACATTTCTCATCTCTTCCAGGATGTTATCTCCAAAAGAAGATTTGACTTCTAACAATATGGACCTAGCCCAGTCCCCAGCTCACAGCACAGATGCTCAGATCTCCCACACTTCTGACATCTGAGTCTGCCTCACAGGTGTCACACACACTGCTTTCACAAAGGGATTCAGTCACAGTTCTCTAGGTGCTTCTGGTAAGTGGTGATTAAGATATTTAAGACTGAGGCAGAGGATCATGGCTGAAAGTTCAAGGCCAGTATGGACTACATAGTGAGATGCTGTCTCCATAAAAAAAGAAAAAAGACACTTAGGGCCAAGCATGGTGGGCACATGCCTGTGATCCCAGCTCCTCAGGAGGCTTAGCAACCTTGTATCAAAATAAAGATCTGGGGGTGTGGCACTCAGTACTAGAGTGTGTTGACCCAGCTCTCTGAGGGCCTGAGTCCAACTCCCAGTTGGAAGAGACAGGACATATGACACATTTAGGGCCTGTACTTGAGTGATCACCAGAGCCCATCTGTGCTAGATGACCTCTGCCACTGAGGATTATGCAGGAAGAGAATCTAGCGACCCTCAAAATCTCCCCTACATTGAAGGGAAAGTCCAGCAACTGTCACAATTCTAGTGTAGCAGTTTCCTAGCTAGATAACTTCAACAGATTGTTTTTTGTCAGTTTATCTGCAAATTAAGAGCAGAAATGCATGAGATTTCAAATGGGGCAAGCCAAGCAGTTGGCAAAGAGGCCCAGAACTTCTCTAAGTTGCCACCAAGCACTGTGGCCCTCTGATGCTAAGTCTCTGGACTTGCATACTGAACGACCAAGCAGCTCCCTGATGAATAATCTCATCTCTGTAGCAAGCAGCCAGCTTGGGTTCCAAGCTCAGTTGCTCAATTGCCTTGCTCAATTGCTCTGAATTCTGGGTAGCTTTGGAGGTATGGACATTTTTAGTGGTTTGACCCCTGCTGCTCACTACCTAAAGATGTCTCCTCACCAAGCTTTAGGTTGGCCCTTTAGTCACTATTAACCTAGGTCAAAAAGATAAATAATAACAGCAAGTTCCCCAGTCTATCAGGCTTTATGTTTTCAGTGTTTCCTTCTGTATACCAGTTGTTTAGTGACTTGGTTTAAAGTCATCAGGTTCCTTTGTTGAAGTGAACTTTTATTCAGAAACCTGGTATATAAACCACACGGATCCTCCTTGTGTAGCTGGCACAATGCTGCCTGAGCTCTGTAGCTTCACCTCCCATTCAGCCTCCTCCCCACACCCCCACCCAAGAGAGCCTCTCATGAACCTAGCAGACCTACCTCTTCATCCCTCCCTGCCCTGCCACCCAGTGGCCTATAATCCTGCAGCCTGACCATGTCCTCTTTTATCTCAGACTCCAAGGGCTTTACTTTCTCCACTCATCCCCAAAAGCTGGGATAGCCTCCGCGGGTCTGTCTTGTCTCACCTCCCTCATCCCCTGTGACTTCACCTGTGTCTATGGCTCATCTAAACTAAGTCTCAAAGTGACATTTCTAACCTGACCATCAGACTCCACATTTTTTTCTGGCTGCTGGCCTCAGAAAGTGTTCATTAAAAGTCAAAGAAGAAAGCCAGGCACAGTGACACATGCCAATAGTCTCATCTTCAGAGGCTGAGGCAGGAGAATCCCTTGAACCCAGGAGTACAGAGACCAGCCTGGGGGCCAGGGATTTAGCATAGCGGCATATGTGCCTGCCTGGCAAGTGTGAGGTCGTGACTTTGATCCCCAGTACCAAAAGAAAAAAACGACAAAAGCACAAGAACAACAGAGACCAGCCTGGGTGATACAACAAACCTCCCAAACAAGAAAAAAGGACAAGAAAGTAAAAGAGACTCCACAAGATAAAGTGGTTATACAGTCAGTGTTAAGACTGAGTATGGGTGGGTATACCTGTAATCCCAGCACTCAGGAGGCTGAGACAGGAAGACTGCTGCAAGTTTGAGGCCACCCTAAGCTACATAGTGAGACCCTGTCTCAAAAAAAAAAAAAAAAAAAACTGCTAGCTCAGGTGCCAGGGTAACTATGTCCACCACAGTTTGGGCCTGTGCTAAAGCATTCTGGGTTTAGGTGTGGGAGGAAGGACTTCAGCAGCAGGGATGGAATTGCAGGAAATGTGCCAGTTTTAGAGCACAGGATTTGTTTGCAGACCTCAGCACCTCTCTGGTCCATTCTGAGAGGAAGAGTTCAAGACACTCACATTCCAGATGTCATGTGACTGAGACTGGGCCAGATGCCCTCCCAGAGAGAGCTGGTGAGAGCTTCTGCTGCCCCCCCCCCCCACGGCAATTCAACAGCAGCTTACAGGTCCTGACCAGGCCTGAGAGAAATCTGAGATGGAACTTGGGGGCTCTGGGATACTCAGTTGGTGCCTGGCCTCTCAGTGGACCTTAAAGGCTAACAGCACCAGGAATGGGAAGAAGGGTGGGATCTGCTTTACATCCAAGTTGGGACAGGTGGAGGATGGAGGGAGGAAAGGAGGTTGCAAGAGCTTGAAACTGGAATGGAAACAAACTGAAATCCAAAGCTGCTAGCAGGAGCTGACCTGGGAGGGGCTGGCAGCACCTCTGGGTGACTGAATGCCTGACAGGGTGGGACTTGGGGTGAGAGGACCAGAGCAGGGGGCTCTTAACAGGAAAGGAACTGGGCTATACTGAGCGCCTAGCCATCTAGGAGAGCCTTTCTGGCTGCTCTGCATCTGGTCCAACTCCCCTAGTACTCTGGTTTTCAGGGATTCCTGTAGCTTCGTCCAGCTCCCTGATGCTTGACGCACCCTTTGAGGGGACAGCTTCATGTCCTCAAGGCCACCAAGGAAAAGCCCTACTCTGCCACTCACCTGCATATTGTTTCAAGACCAGCTACATCCTCAGCAACCCCTCAGGCTGAGGATGCTGGGACCCTTTTACCTCAGGAGTCCCCTCTTCATGGACAGTGAAGAGCAGGATGAAGTGAACAAAACAGAAAATAAGGACAATGGGCGCTATCATTAACTGGGGACTGTCAGAAGGTACACAGTACTGTCTTCTCCCCTGAACTTGGGCCCTTCCTGCAGGACAGCCACAGCTTCCTCAGCGGGCTCCTTGCCTGCTGCTCCTCTACCTCCTTAATACATTGGCACAGGCCAGGTGCACATGGGAGAACACTGCAGCAGCTGGGGTCCTCAGGTGGCTGAGGCAGGAGGACTGCTGAGCTTAGGAGTATAAAGAGCCCAGGTGACGTAAGCGAGCCTGCCTAAAGAAAACCTAGAAGGTACTAAAAACAGTAATAGCTGTGTGTGTGCATGCACACATGCACATGCAATGACTTAAGTCCAGTCAGGGTTGTGAACAAAGTCATCTGTTTCAACCTGGATCATCTCGTCATTCACTCAGCAGCCTGCTAGGTGGGCTAGGAATGTGTCGCGAGGACTCCGTATAATTCTGAGTTTACAGGGCAGCAGGGCTCCACCCTCTTCACTTGAGTTTCAGGGCACCTCCTCCTTCTAACCTTTATCATGACCCCAGTTCCTAGACATCCCTGCCTCCGTCCATAGAACGCATGCTTGCTCAGGGCAAGGGCTGGCTCATCTGTTCTGCAATTCAGCTCCTGTGTAAGGAAGCAGACCAAGGAGAATCTGTTGGCAGGTTAGCAGACAGACCCTCAGAGGCATCTAGGAAGAGCAGGCATTCTGGAGTCCGGGTTGTGGCTATAGCACATGAACATACCCTGAGCACTTCTGAAGGTGAGGAAGCTCATATTCAGAGGAGCTCTGGACAGTTCCTGGGCTGAGTGAGTGTTGGGGAAATGGCTCAGCATACTCTTGGCCCAGAGCTGCCCAATGGGCAGAGGGAGTCAAGGCCCACAGGCAGCAGTTATATGGGATGGGGATGCTCCCAAAGGAACAAAGCTGCTTCCTCCCACAGAGATGGAAACAGCTCAACCAGGGCACTTGTGCTGGAGTCTCAGGAAACATGAGCCCTTTGGTGGTGTTCTGTACACCAGAGGACCACAAATCACAAGGTTCTGTCTGGGAAAACTATTGTCAATCTTGTCACCCTCAGTCTAGGAACATGGGCTCTGAGCTGCCTAGGCTTTTGAATGTGCTTATGCTCTTAAAAGAGGAGAGTACAAATGAGCACCTGCACTCGGTATCCAATGGCACAGTGCTATTGCTTCCCATGTCTGCCAGAGTGCAGTGACCATAGGCTGTGAATGCACTGGAGCTTCAGTTTCTGAGCAGATCATGAAATTCCTCGGTGCTTACCTCCCCCCTCTATCAGAGATGGGAGGTGAAGCAAAAAAGAATAGCATCCTGCCCCACAGGGGCACTGAGTCTGTCACAGAGTAAGCACCAAGGAGCACTGGTCCCTGACTCCTCTGTCCAAAGGGGCACAGTCTACAGACAAGGTGGGCAGCTCTCAGAACTGACAGCCAGTCACAGTGGCACACCACTGTAATCCCAACAATCTGGGAGGCTGAGACAGGAAGGACACAATTCAGCCCCATTGTGGACAACTTAGCAAGACTCGGTTTCAGAATAAAAAGAGCAGGGGTGCAGGTCAGTGAGAAGGCGCTCAATTCAATCCCCAATACCACCACTACCAAATAATAAAAAATTGAGCAGTTCAGACCCTGAAGTGTGGGTCACCCCTGCCTCCCCAGCCATCCCACACCAGCTCCTGCAACCCCTCCTCACCTTCCCAGCCCAGCCTGCTAAGTGATGAAACTAAAAGGGTTTGATCATGTTGGTATATTTATATGTAAATACAAAACTGTATCACTGTAAGATATTGAATATGAACATTACAATTATTACTGAATCTGACTCATTCATTGATGTTAAATACAAAATGAAATGATTGTAAAAAATAAGAATATACACATTCAGAGAGCTTATTACAGTATAAAATTACTGAGGTCTGATCAGCTGCCAACCTCATCTTCTATTGGGTGGAAGGTTTTGGGAATCTCAGGAACTCTTGGGAGTACAGAATGCTGAGGACTGTCAATTCCATCCCTGCACAGCAAGTCGGGTGGCTAGAAGCAGGCAGGGACAGGTGGGTGACAGAGGACGGTGTTTAAGGGGACACCAGCCATCCTGTGAGAGCTCTAGGGCCTGGAAGATGGCATACAGGAAGAGATGGGCATCTCAGACAGGGCATAGGAAAGGAACCTCTAGCAGAGGAAAAACGGACCTGTTTATTCCCTGCGAGGCTTTCTCCCTCACCTCTTGCTCCTCTCCTCTCCCTTCCTATTCAGACTTCGTACCGATTGCTTTTGACTCTACCTGCTGTGGTTCATCTCTACCCTGTCCTCCATCCCTGGGGTGAGAGAGGAAAAGGACAGCCTGGCTTCACAGTGCAGGTCTGTTCCCCAAATCAGCAGAGTAAACAGAGGAAAAGCTGTTAGATAAGGGCCATCCAGGATGAAGTACACCAGTGTCGCCACAAACCAGCCTTCTCAACTCAATGGACAAAATCCAGAGGGGCAAAATCATCATCTGAGATGAGGGCCTCAGTGGGAGCAGGGAGGACAGAGGTGTGTGTCCCACCCAAGCCAGTCCAGGTAAGAGCAGGGCCCAGGAAGCGAGGAGCCCTGAACTGTAACACGGAGCCTTAGGAACATCTACAGAGAAATGTGTGTGTATATGTATTTATAGAATACGACCATATTATCACATAATATATATTATATACACACATACATATGGACCCAGACGTGGGTGTGCACATATGCACACGCACACACATGGAAGGACAGAGGAGACCAGACTACACACCCTATGTATAAACGTGCTTGGCACTCAGGCAATCTCTAGAATATGTAACTTGGTCAAGCTCTCTGGGCAGGAAGGTAAATGCTCACAAACCTTCCCACCAAATCCTAGCAAGGGAAGGTGGGGAGACAAAAGACCTCCATCCAGGAGAAGAATGGCATTGGGAGGGGGAGGAGGCCCCTGCCCCTTGCCTTGGGACCCTGACATATATCAATAGCCACAATTTGGTTTTAATAAGGCACAGTTCAATAGCAGGTGCTAGGAGTCAAGAACCCATCACTGCTGGCCCTTTCTCGTGGCAACTCCACACATCAATCTGGCAGAAGGAAGAGGCTGCCTTGTGTGCAGCAGGTGCTGGGAGCCCCAGAAGAGGCTGATCATGGCTTCAGCAGAACTGATGACAACCTAGAGGCTCAGCGGCGTCCAGGGTGGTCTAAGGGAGGCTGGCCAGCAGACAGGACCCTGTGGGGCAGTTACTGATTCTCCATGGCCAGCGGGTTATGGCCAGAGGATACCATGCCCTCCTTTTTTGCCCATTCTAGTATTGCCTTGTAACAGAAATAGTACTGCTCGGGGGTCTGGATGCAGTAGGCCCTCTGGGTCCGCATGCGAGACACTGTCTGGAACACATTGAGGGTGCCAAGCTCCTCCAGCTGAGCCAGGCAGATGTCCAGTGAGCAGAAGGTACCTAAACAAGAAAGGAAATGGTCACCAGAGTTGAGCTCTCCTATTGTCGTCTTTCTACTAATATCTCGGGTGAATGAACTCAAGGCAAGGCATGCATGCAGGGGCCCAGGTAGAGGCCACGGGAGTGCTAAGGGTCTCTCATCTCTCAGGAGATGCACAAAAGGAAGAGTAAGTAGGCCGGTGTCAAGAACTTCCTATCTCAACTGCAGACACAAGACCCACCCCCTCTCTAGAGGCTGCCTCTCACCCACAGGCTAGGCCAGGGTCCTGCAGTACACACCCCTAGGACAGCAGCTGTTGCTGGCCACAGGATGGACAGCATAGCACAGAGCAGGAGTCCCAGGAGAGGGGCTAGAAAGAAAGAGCAGCCAGCTAACCTCTCTGGACCGCCCCCCACAGAAATGGCAATGACAAGGGACAGGTGAGGAAACAATCTTGGTCCTGTGGTGGGCCAGGGTCAATTTCCAGAGAGTCTGGTTTGTGAAGTATGTATTTTGGCTGTCACCACACAAGGGGTCCTAAGCGGACACAAAAGGGGCATTTTACCACAAGAGGTTAAGTGAGTCTTTTTTTTTTTTGGACTTTTTCATTTTTACGGTACCAGGGATTGAACTCACAACCGCCTGCTTGCAAGGCAGGTGCTTATGCCACTGAGCTAAACCCCCAGCCCCAGTTAAGTGAGTCTTTTTCATCATAGATGCAGCTGAGAGCTCTGTCCTTCCACCCAATCCCTGCCCTGGGTGCTCTGAGGCTGCCCCAGTGTATCACCTGTCCTGCCGATGCCTGCACTGCAGTGGACCACAATGGGTGGCTGCCCCTTGGAGCGGGTGCCCATGCTGCTGATAGCCAGGCTCTGCTGGCTCCTGACAGCCCTCAGGAAGTCAATGAGCGATGCCGCTGAGGAAGGTACACCATAGTCTGGCCAGCTTAGAAATTGAAAGTGGGTCACCTGACGTTTCTCCCTCTCCTGAAATAAAAAGAGCAACATGAATTAATAAGGTTGGATCTGCCTGCCCTGACTGTGGGGCTTCTCTAGGTTCTCAGCACCCCAGTGTCCCTGACACCAAGGCTTCTGTCTACCATGCTCAACTTGCCCCACATCACTTCTTTACTCCAAAGAAAGGCTCAGTGTGGGCTGGGGATATAGCTTCAGTAGCACAAGAAGCTACCTGGCAAGTGCAAGGTCCTGAATTCGACTCCTGGTTCCAAGAAGAGCGTCAATATGCAAAGGCATTCTAACAGGATCCAGGTTTCTTTTTTCTTTTTTTTGGTGGGGGGTACCAGGGATTGAACTTACAACCTCAGGCTTGCCGGGCAGATGCTTGTGCTGCTGAGCTAAATCCAAGACCCATTAGATTTCTTTCTTCTTTATGGTGCTTGGGATTGAACCCAGGACTTTTGCTTGTTTTACAATTTTTATTTTGAGACAAGGTCTTGCTAACTTGCCCAGGCTGGGCTTAAAGTTGCAGTCTTCCTGCCTCAGCCTCCTAGAGTGCTGGGACTACAGGCATGCACCTCCCTCTTGGCTTAGGATCCAAATTTGTAATGCCAGTTGTTTTTTCTCTGTAATGTCACTGTTTTATTGAGATGATAGGACTCTCCCAGCTCTGAACTGAATACCGTCATCTTGCTCCCAGAAAAACAGAAGCTATAGGGGCTGGGGGTTTAGCTCAGCGGCATAAGCACCTGCCTTGCAAGCAGGCGGTCGTGAGTTCAATCCCTGGTACCGATAAAAATGAAAAAGACAAAAAAAAAAAAAAAAAACCAGAAGCTATAACCTCTCTAGTAGCCTGTCTACTCCCTCTGGAGTTTCTGTATAGTACAGACTCTCCCCCAGATCCAAGAAGGGAGAAAACAGGAACTCAGGTTTACCTCTGTGTTGTGAATTTCAAGTGTTGTTTTCTTATAGTGGTCCCTGTTTTCCACATGCAGATTGGTCACCGTGAGGAAGCCAAATCGGATCTGAGTGTCCTTTACTAGGGGCCAATACTGGCCACACTTCCTCTTGCCACCTTCTTCAAAGCTGAAGATACAAGACACAGGACAAAGTCAGCTGCATCCCTCACTTCACAGCAAAAGCCCACATCACACCTGCTGTCCATGAGATGTCAAAGCTATCTCCTACCCTGCTTTTTTTTTGTCTTTTTTTTTTTTTATTGGTACCAGGAATCAAACTCATGACCGCACCCTTGCAAGGCAGGCGCTTATGCCATTGAGCTAAATCCCCAGCCCCTCCCACCCTGCTTTTAACTTGTACCCCTGCATCTTGGCAGACAGAAGGAACCCACTTAATTCTAAATGGATGAAGTGTCTGCATGTGCTCATTTAAGACACTGATCACACACCTGCTACGTTATTTAGTCTTCCTCTCGATACCAGTGGCACTTCTCACTGAGCTGGGATAGCATGAGTGGATGAAAAAGCCAAGGGGGAAAAACATGGTGGTCAGAGAGCACATGCTGGCCTTGCCCTGGCCACTGTTCATTCTCCAACAAGGGCTTCACTGACCAAGGAGGGAAGATGGTAAAGACCACCTTTAGAAGCCCTCGGGTCCCCAAATGGCTCCTTATTCTCCTGTCCAAGCAGACGGGGCTATGCTGAGCCCTTGAGAAGGGTACAGAACAAGAGTTCTTTCTGTCTCCTTGTCTGAAGTCGGTAATAGTCAGTATGGCAATACTGATGGAACTAAGCGTTCCTCCAAGTTGGCAGTGGTGCAGGGCAACATCTCAACCGTATTTCTGGCTCCAGAGCTTCCTGTCTAACCAGCTCTTTCCCACCTGTCATTCTTCCCTTTGCCTATGGGGGAGACACCGACGAGAGGAGTGGACAGCAGAGGGAACCTACCAATTCAATGGCCAGGACAGCAGAGCCCTCTGGCATTGGCCAGGATAAGCGGAAGTGCCTGTGTTCCCAGGACTTCCTTAATAGCCAATGCCAGGACCCCAGAACAGGGTCAGCATGGCTATGGATTAAGGTGCTAGTATGTGATATCCATCTGTCTCCATTATCCCCTTAGCTAAGAAAAAGCTGAAAGCTCCAACTCTTTGCCATGGCCATGACTTTCCTAACCTTCAGTTTTGTTTTGTTTTTGTTTTTTGAGACACTGTTTCACTGTGTAGCCCAAGCTGGCCCCAAACTCAACAGGGATCCTTCTGCCTCAGCCTCCTAAGTGCTGTGATTATAGACAAGCATGCACCACCATGGCCAGCTCTTCACTGTTTCTTTTCTTTAAAAAAAAAAAAATTTTTTTTTTCCCAGTTTTTGAGACAGGGCCTTTTTGAGACACTGGCCTTAAACTCATGGGCAGTCCTTCTGTCTCAGCCTCCTGAGTACTGGGATTATAGATGAGTGCCACCATGCTCCACTCACCTTCAGTGTTTCTAGAAGCTAAACATCCTTCTTGAATTAACCTCACTAGGGTCAGGGAGGGTGGGGCCAGTGGGGAAAAAGCTGACTCACCGGGTGGTCATGACAATCACCAAGACCTTCTGCTCCCACACCATGAGCCAGAAATCATGATAGGTGTTTTCCAAAGGGCCTGTCGGAGAACACAGGGGTGTGAGCACAGGAAGTCCTTCTTTCTTACTCCCAACCCAAAACCTGGCATCAGCTCATTGCTCATCTCTGTATACCCTGCTTTCCAGTCCCTGGAGTGACTGCACCACCAGCACTGCACGGGAGGGTTAGAAATGCAGTGTAGCGGGCATGGTGTCACACACCTGCAGCACTCTGAAAGGCTGATGCAGGAGGTTCACGGTTCAAGCCTGGGCAATTTAGTGACTGAACAAGACCCTACCTCAAAATAAAAAAGGGTCAGGGTTGTAGCTTGGTGTGAAAGCTCCTGAGTCCAATTTTTAGTACAAAACAAAACAAAACAAATCACAGCAAAAAGCACCAGTTAGCCATCTTGTTTAGTGGTCCCCACATGGTGGAAGCACTACTGTGCACACTCAGAGCTCAGGGCTGCCTGTGGCCATGTCTCTATCCACAGCGTGAGCTTCAGCCTCCATAACTGGTTCCCACTCTCCTGCTGCCATCATCTGCAACCCCGGCTCCCCCTTTACCATGGGCTTTATCTTTCCACTTTCTCATCTTTGTTAGTGACAATGCATTCTTACAACATCCAGTCTTTAGAATCTGAAGCCCATCAGATTTTGCATGTCCTGCATCTCCCAGATCAATCTCCAATCAATCTGCAGCTGTTCTGCACTCAGAATGCTTTCTGCGTCCCTTTCCCCATGCCAACCCACTCCTGTGCTGCGATCTCACTGCTAGTCATGGTTTGGCTGAGCTGAGACACCACTTGAGCTTTCCCAAAGTCTCTCTCTGCATCCCCACCAGCTCAAAGGTTTCAACACAAGCTGCTCAGGACACACCCACCTCTTCCAAGCCTATCCACTTCCTATCTGTTTCACTCACACCCTCCTTAGCTCTCAGATTACATCGCTCCTTGAGGGCTCCTCTGCTCTGAGCTTTCAAAGACACAGTTCTTTGGGTTCTTAGCATTTGACCTAGAGTTGGCACCAGTAATTTTACTTCAGGAAGACAGGCCTTATAAACATAGTTTGAGGACAAGGGCCACACTTGTCCTTGAGATCAAGTTCCCCTGTTACAGTGAGAGCCTGCAGAGGCAGGCACCTGGTAATAAAGCTGCAGTTCTCTGTGGACCACTAACCCTTTTCACCAAGAGAGTGAGCAACAACATTAAGCCCCTGTGTTCTCCCAGCTTTCCCTCTGCTCTCGGGAAAGCAAGGCAGCAGCAAGGTATGATGGAGCCTGAAAGATTGCCAGCTCCATTCTCTTTTTTGCTAAAATCTTTAGTAAGCCCCGATTCCTTATGACACTAGAATCCCCTGTCTGCAGACACAGAGGCCCCACAGTATGCTGGGGCTAGTAATGTATGAGAAAGAATAAGTCCTGCGCTGTGCTCAGCAAGTGCTCTGCCATGCAGCCACAGCACAGCCCTAGACTCAGATTTTACAACTGGTTCTGTCGGGGAGGAAACTGGGTAAAAAGGAAGAATCAAGATATAACAGGTACTAGTACAAATTCCCTATGATGTATGTGACCATTATGTATGTCTGAAGTGTACCAATAAAATTAATTAAGAAAAAAGAAATTAAGAACTGGTAATGTACAACCTGTGCAGTGCATGTTTCTCATGTGTGCAATATCCCATTCCTTTCTGGGCCACCCACATGAGTGTTACCTTTATTGGTGACACTATGGTGAATCACTTAAGGAACTATTATCGGATCTCTCATTTTATTTTTCCACAAGCCAGTGACACTGTACAACTGGATTACATTTTGTTTTCATTTCTGTTTGAAATCAGGTCTTGCTAAGTTGTTCAGGGTAGCCTCCCATTTTCAACTCCCCTCCCGCTTCAGCCTCCTGAGTAGCTGGGATCATAGTTCGCATATCACGATGCCTGGCCTGTCAGATCTGTTACTGACCATTTTCTGCAATAGTCACAGAATTTTAAACCCCTATGGCAGCCTATTTTGTCAACCGGTGTCACAATTTCCTACACCACCACCACCACCACCTTCTTCTCTTCTTTATGCTAGGGTTTGAAATCAGTGCCTTGCACCCATGCTCTATCACTGAGGTGTGTCCCTAGCTGCCTACCACCTTCTTTGAAAATGAAGTTGTCTTCTTGAGAGAGGCAGAGGCATAGTAGGCAAGTATGTCATCTCCATCTGAATTCTTCCTGTTTCCAGACTGCCCGGTTCAGAGCGCTTCCTGGTGTGTGCTGTGATGATTTGGGGCCCAGACCCACACTGCTTGTGCCTAAACTGGACTCAACTTCTGGGAAGTACCACTGCCAATCCAGACCCCTTCATGGATGTGGAAAGCATCTCATGGCCCTACACCTTTGGCTTGACCACACTAAGACACAGAACTGAAAGAAACAAGCAGGCAGTGTCTGTGGGCTTAAATTTCCAGTTCATTTCTATGCTCCAAGTTTCTGAGCACACATGGTACAGAAACCCTATACCTCCCATGTGCCTTCCTACCACCACCAATCTTTACAAAAGGCCAGGATTTAGTAGCTACAGCATAGACTCAAATCATGTTTTCTTTAAAAATTATGGCATCATCTGGCACAAGGCAGATGGCAAAAGACCAACATGTGAGGGCCGCATCAGCTTACCCTGGGTGCCAATGTAAGCATTCTTCTGCTTGTAGCCATCCATGAAGCTGGCGTTGATGTAATCTGTCTGATGGGAAAGAGGAGACATCATTGTGTGCATGGCAGGTAGCGTCTGAGTTATAGAATGGGGTCCTAAGTAAGCCTAATCCCCAGTGTGAGTGTGTTTTTACTGTCAGTGGACAGTGAAGGGTGATAGCCAATTCAAACCTCACTTCATCAGTCAGGCTGGGACAACTGAGTATCTACGTGCAGAAAAATCAAACAGACTCTGTCGTGATACCACACACAAAATTAACTCAAAATGGACCAAAGACATAAAAGCAAGAGATTAAACTATAAAACTCTTTGGGGCCCCGCATACAGCTCAGCAGCACAGTGCCCACCTGGCAAGTGTGAGGTCATGAGTTTGATTCCTGGTACAAAAAAAAAAAAAACAAAAAAAAAAAACACTCTTTGAAGAAAATGAAAGAATAACTTCGTGATTATGGGGCTGGGCAAAGTCACTTATATATAACACCAAAGTCACAAGAAAAGAAATAAACTGGACTGCAGTAAAACTAAAAACTAGGCAGAGCGGCACACATCTATCCGAGCACCCTGGTAGGCTGAGGCAGGAGAAACTCAAAGAGTTCAAGCCCACCCTGGGCAATTTAAAGAGATCCTACTTCAAAATAAAATAAAAATGGCCAAGGATGGTACTGCATGCCAGTAATCTTAGTACTTTAGAGGCTAAGGAAGAAGGATTGCTAAAAGTTTTAATGATAACCTAAATAAATAAATAAATAAGGGCTGGGGATAGAGCCCAGTGATCCGCCTGGGTTCAAGTCCCAATACCAAAAAAAATTTTTTTTTAATTTAAAAAAAGCAAAAAATTTTGTGTCTCAAGGGACATTATCAAGTAAGTGAAAAATCAATCCACAAAATGCATTTATTTAATAAAAAACTTGTACTTCCAAGTGTGGTGGCACATACATACATGTAATCCCAGCACTTGGAAGCTGAGGCAAAAAGATCACCGCAAGTTTGAGGCCAGCATAGGCTACATGGAGGCCAATATAAGCTACACAGTGAGAACTTGTCTCAAAAAAATAAAAATCTTGCAACCCTTAGAATTCAATAAGGGATGATCCAATTTAATATTAAGCAAAAAAGTCATTTTTGAAAGGTTTTGGCCCAGACAGGACGCTGTAGCCAGGAAAGCCACAACCGGAAGCAGGAAGCCCCATCTTGCCCTTCCCCTAGGAAGTTACCTGTGACGCCATCTTCCCGCCCCTGGGAATTTACATATGGCGCCAAACCTAGGACCAATGGGCTACCTGTGTATCCCTAATGCCCGCCTTAGGTTCCACCCCAAACCGAGGCTATTTACAGGCCCCCACGCCACGTGTCCGACGGAGAGATCGCCGGACGCCAGCGGTGGGGGTGCCGGTCATCTCTCTCCGTGTTCTCAGAATAAAGGCCGCTTTTTATTTTATATTTCTCATCTTTTGTTAATATTTTTCATCTTTTGGAAATAACCCTATCAATTTTCCCATACATTTACAGATGGTCAAGGAGCACACAGAAGAATGATAAGCATTATTTGACACCAGGGCAGACACTACTTTGAACTCACTAGAATAGTTACAGGTTAAAAAAGATAAGTGTTGACAAGGACGCAGCACAATCAGAACCCTCATGCATGCTACTGGGAATGTAAATTGCAGTCACTTTGGAAAGCAGGCTAGCAGTCTCACCAAAGACTAAACAGGATTACCCTATGACCCAGCGATCCCACTACCAAAGAAAAGGACTACATAAATCTACTAATTTATACCAATATTCATAGCAGCACTGTTCACAATGGCTAAACAATGGAAATAATTCCAGATCCTTCAATGAATGCATACATGGATCCTCTGGCAACTGCAAGGAGTGAGGAGGTGCTGGTATTTGTCACAACATGGATGCACTGTTATTCCACTGATATGGAAGTGTAGAGAGAGAGAAAACAGTGACCAGAGGCACTCTATGGTAAAATACTTGCCTACTGAACATAAGGCTCTGGGCTTATCTCCAGCATCTCAAATGAAACACCCAAACAAAACAGATTAGGGTGGGGCTGGGGATTTAGCTCAGGGGCATAAGCGTATGCCTTGCAAATTTGTAGTTGTGAGTTGGATCCCCAAACGGATGATTAAAAAAAAAAAAAAAAAAAAAACACACAGATTAGGGTGGGTTAGAAGGAAATACGGGTGATAGCCAAGGACATAGGTTTCTCTTTGGGATAAGCTTTGCTCGTACAGCACGTGAGTTATATCTCAATAAAGCTGGTGGGTTTTTTTGGTCTTTTTCCTTCTTATCGGTACCAGGGATTGAACTCACGACTGCCTGCTTGCAAGGCAGGCGCTTATGCCACTGAGCTAAATCCCCAGCCCCAAAGCTGCTATTTTGAAAAAACAAAAAGAATCTATCATATCTTGTAGCACATAGCAGAGGGCTAATGGGAGACAGACCCACAGCCTGGGCAGGAGCACCCATCTACTCTGTGGCTCATGAAAGATAGGGACCAGAAGGCAGAAGTTGCCACTGTCAGCACAGCAGCAGAGCAGGTCAGTGTCCAGCCTTCTCCACCAAATGAACTCCCACAGAGCTTTTTGCCAGCTCAGAGAGGTCAGGCAAGCTCCTGAACCCTTTTGCAGGGTCTTCATCCTCCTCCTCACATCCTCAGTCTCATTCACTTAACTTCACTCTCATTAAATTATAAAGTCTCAGCCAGTCTCCTTTAGTCTTGGCTGACCAAGAAAGAAATGATGGCAGAGATAGTTTCAAGTCTCAGTGTAAACTGCTGAGAGTAGAAAAAACAGGCAATTACTAGACAGAGGCATGCAGGGGCATCAAGTAAGAGACAAGAAGTCTCCACAGACACTGGGCATGATAGGGCACACCTGTAATCCCAGCACTCAGGACACTGAGACAGGAGGATCACCTTAAGTTTGAGGCCAGCCTGGGCTGCATAGTGAATTCAAAGCCAGCCTGAACTGTGTAAAACCCTGTCTAAAAATAAAAATAAAAATGAAAGTCTCCATGGCCTATCAGGGAAAAGCCATAATCTATACCACTCTACAGAGGTCAGAGTAGGTTCTTCCTATAGCTAATGCCTTTTATCTAGAGGGCATGAGACCTAAAAACAGTCAAAACTGTGTGTCCTCAGGCCACGCCCTCAGGACAGCACTTTCCTCACAGTCAAACACAGTCAAGGGTGTGCTGCTGCAAGGCCTCCAATTCAGCCAGTCTATCTCCTGACATAGTATCCCACTATGTACTCAGCCTCTCCACACTCCTCCCACAGCAGCCAGTACTGACCTCATGGCATCAACGCTCCATTGGGCATGGGCAATGCCACTGAGCTGCTGGACGACCTCAGGAGACCAGGCCAGCTAGACCTCACCCACCCTGACCAAGATGCCACTTCTCACTCCAGCTGAGTGTACACCTTCAGAAACCCCGTGGAGAGGATATAGAAAAGTACAAGAGTCTCTTGTTGTAAGAATCAACACTGTCACTAGTGTGTAAGCATTCACCCCCTGAGCTGCCTATGTAATTGGAAAAGAATGTCACCTCTTTAAAGGAGACTTAGATGGTGCATAACTGTAATGTCAGCACTCAGCAGACTGAGGCAGAAGGACTGACATAAATTCAAGGCCACCCGGGGTGACATAGTGAGTTCAAAGTAGGGCTGAACTACACGGTGAGACCCTGTCTCAAAAAAACCAAAAAATATTTTTTGATTTTAAAAATTGAAAAAAAGTAAAAATAAAAGAGATTTACTATTATTTATCATGAAGAATATCAATTTTCAGTACCCTGGTCTCTAATAGCGCCTGACTCTGGGAATTTACATCAGCAATTTCAGAGTGAACATCATGTATTAAAACAGAAAATGACCTCTGGAGACAAGTATCAACCGAGGGGCAAAATGCTGCTATAGAAAGTGTTTGTGTCTTCACCTCAAACTCCTATGAAAATCCTACTCTGCAATGTGATGGCTCTGGGGAACACAGCTTTGTGAGGGGACTAAGCCTCAAGAACCACTGAGATGCATCCCTTACAAAGGGGATTAGAGCCTTCATGAAACACAAGAGCTCTGAAAACACACACAGGTAATGCACATACTAACTGGTTTGACTGTGCCATTCCGTGCATGCATGAGTTTTTGTAAGCATATTTCAAAACATTACATTGTAAGTCATAAATATATACAAATTGATTAATTAAAATAAACAAATATCAAGAAACAAAGTGAGAAAGAATTAATTCTAAAAGTAGAAATACTATTGGAGTAGTTTGTCCCTGAAACTAAATAAGTAATATCCAGAAAAACCAAACCAAATCCGAATCTTCCATTTACTGTGGAAATAAAACCTCTGCTAGTATTTGCAGTAAGGAAACCACAAATCAGGCAAAGATATTCAAATAAACTATAGGATAACTAGAATAGTTTCCTGGTCTCAGGATTCACTTCTTTATGTATTTTCTGTCTATTACAATGCCAGGCACACTTCTACAGAGTGGACACAGAGCAGTCAACAAAACAGATAAACACAACCCAACCAGGGAACTTCCATCTTTTAAAGCATGTACAATGACAATCTCAGGTCCTAGCCAAACACTAAGCTAACACTCCGGCATAGAAACCCTTTGCAAGTACCCGTGTCAAGAGAAATCAAAACTATGATCTTAGGATACCAAACCTCACATCCATATATGGTCAAATACAATGATTTCTCCAAATATCATCTGCAAAAGCATGAGCAGAAGGGGGCGGGACGGGGATGTAACAAATGAGTATCATGTTCATAGGGCCAAAATTTAAACTCCTTTCCTTTGAAATAGCAACCTTGGGGCTGGGGATTTAGCTCAGCGGCATAAGCGCCTGTCTTGCAAGCAGGCAGTTGTGAGTTCAATCCCTGGTACCCATAAAACGGAAAAAGACAAAAAAAAAAAAAGAAATAGCAACCTTAATCAATTATTTTTTGATGCTATAGGACACCAGAAAATACTGGCATAGCAAAAGGAAATAAAGAAATACAATGCCCATTTAGATGTTCACCTAATTTAGAACACCATAAATTTAGAAGTAGTTATAAACAGGTTACATTTCAAGAGAATTTTTTAAAGGGATAAATAAATGATTTTGATATATAGGATGCCTGAGGTGCAAGATGAATGAAAATTAAAAACTAATCTATAGGTTACTTCGTTTTTGGTACTGGGGATTGCACTCATGACCTCAGGCTTGCCAGGCAGGCACTTGTGCCACTGAGCTAAACCCCCAGGCTTATAGGTTAATTTTAAATCCTAATAGGTTTTTCTAATTTAGAACACTTGCCAGTGATGATACTGTGATACTTAAAGACAATGTACACGGCAAAACCATGCCAGACTGACTTTCAAAGCAGTTCAAATGATGGCTGAGACACTCATGTTATAGATGCATGTGAAGAGTAAAGCTTCACTAAATATCTCTATTAATACATGTATTTTTTAACAGCACAGATGTCAAACTGATACATTAAATAACATAGTTATCCAGCTGATTTATGTATCCATGCTGGGATTATAGACATGTGCCACCATGCCCAGCTTTCAACATGCCTTTATAACAAAGCAAAAAAAGCAGAAATGACCCAGTGTTTACTAGCCCCACAATATACCAGACCTTGTATTGTGAGTGTTCACATAAAGAATTTCATTTATAAGCCACACATGGTGGTACATGCCTGTGACCCTAGTACTCTGGGAGGCTGAGGCAGGAATATAGCAAGTTCAAGCCAGCTTGGGCAACGTGGCAAGAAAGTGTCTTAAAATTTAAAAAAAATGATGAGTTGATGTTGTGCAGTGTGAAGGCCCTGTGTTAAATCCCTAGTATAAAAAAGAAAAAAACTCATTCACTTTAATCACTTGTGACTCAGTACTATTGGGTGTCTAGGATCAGAACTCAAACTTCATTTTCCTGGATGGTTTCCTGGTTCTTTTTCTATTCTGTTGCAGTGATGGCAAACCTTTTAGAGGCCAAGTGCCATTTAAAAGCTTGGACAGGTCATGGTTAATGAGTCATGGCTTGTGATGTCATCACTTGGTGCTGGTATACCTCCCAACCACGTATAAAGTCCCTACATGCACTGTTACCCTATGCTTGGCTATTGGAATGACATGGTTCACAAGCCAAGAGACAGCTCTGCGTGGCTGCTGTGGCATGTGTGCCACAGGTTCATCACCAATGGATTAAAGTATCAATACGTTTCACTTTGGAAGAGGCTTACTTCCCCACAGTGCTCCAAATAAGACTGCATCTGTCTACCTGAGTGTGGCCACTTCGTTTTGTCAGCTTCACTCGAGTTTGATCCAAGCAGGGGACATCTCGATAACGGTTCTTCTCTAGGTTTTCTGGAGACCTAAAGGAAATGAAGCAGACAAGGAAAATTTAGGAAAAAGTAAGGATGGTGTGGTGGCACACACCTGTAATCCACGCAGTTTGGGAGGCTGAGCAGGAAGATCACAAGTTCAAGGCTAGTCTGTGTTACCTAGCAATAATACTGTCTCAAAATTTACAGTGGTGCTAGTATGTGTGTGTGCATACATACATATACACAAGGGGTGGCAATGTAAAAAGCTGGGCATCAATCCCTGCTGGGATAGAATGTGGAGTTCCTCACTCTAGTGTACATGGCTCCTCATCATTCGACTTCATTTTCTTTTTGTGCTAGGTATTAAACTCAGGGCTTCAGGCATACTAAGCATGTGCTCTACCACTAAGTCACACCTCAGCCCTGGTCTAGCCTTTTTATACATATACACTGCTAACAGAAAAGTGAGAGGGAACCCACACAGACTAGGACAGAGGTCTGCACTGTTGAGGGGGTCTGCTATAACAAATACCCAAAAGCCAGAGCAGCTTTGGATGTGGTAAGGAGCAAGTGTGGGAGAGATGTGGAGGCACATGCTATGCAGAGCAGTCCGCAGTGCCACCAACAGAGCAGCAAGGGCCATTCTAGTGAGGCTCAGAGGAAAGTTTCCATCAAAGCCTTGGTCTTAGAGTCAGAGACTGTAATCAGAAATGCAGATAAAGGCTTCTCTGATCAGGCAGAGCACCAAAGCCAGTCTAGCTGCACATAACCATTTTATTATTTATTTATAAAAAGAAGCTCAAAATCAATTTCTTTCTTCTCTCTTTTTCTCTCTTTGGCCCTTCTCCTCACTCTTCTCTGTATTAGGAGCTGGACCCAGGGCCTCATACATGCAAGGTAACCAACCCCAGCTCTGTTTTAAAAATTGTATTTTGAAGCCGGGCATAGTGGCACATGCCTATAATTCCGGCATTGGGAAAGCTGAAGCAGGAGAATCATTTCGAGTTCAAGGCCAACCTATCTACAAAGTGAGTTCAAGGCCAGCCTGAACCACATAGTGAAGCTCTATCTCCAAAAGACAAAAAGAAAAATTGTATTTTGTGTGGGGCACGATGGAGCATGCCTAGAGTCCCAGCACTCCGACAGCTGATGCAGGAGGATCACTGTAAGTCTGAGACCAGCCGGGGCTCCACTGTGAGTTCAAGCCCTGCCTGAACTGCATAGCATGACCCTGTCTCAAAAAATAAAATTCCCAGACTAGCCTCAAATTTGCAATCCTCCTGACTCAGTCTCTCAAATAGCTGGGACTGCAAGTGTGTATCATTATACTCAGGTAAAATAAATCTCTAAATTCCATTTTAACACGATGGACTGACCCCACTGGGGCTGGGGATTTAGCTCAGCAGCATAAGCACCTGCCTTGCAAGCAGGTGGTTGTGAGTTCGATCCCTGGTACCGATTAAAAAAAAAAAAAAATGACCCCACTCTATCCAGCAGCTTTTCTGAAATGCATTAAAGAAACTATTCAATACAGAGTCAAAGAGCAACAGTGGAGACATCAGCAGACAGAGATTTTAACCTGTTTTGGCAGAAAGAAGAGATGAGCAGATTTGGAAGACTTGGTCAAATGCAAGAAGCTAGGGCCTAAGAAGTACTGATGAAAAGCAAAAACAACACCCTGGAAGATAAGATAAAACAAAAGGGTAAAACAGAAAAAATTTAGCACTTGCGAGGCTGAGGCAGGAAGGAGGGTTGCTGCAAATTCGAGGCCAGCTGGTGTTACAAAGTGAATTCAAGGCCAGCCTGAACTATATAGTGAAACTCTGTCTCAAAAAGAATAAACAAATAAACAAACAAAACCACAATTAGGAGCCGGGCGTGGTGGCTCATGCCTGTAATCCCAGCACTGGGAAAGCTGAGGCAGGAGGATGGTTGTGAGTTCGAGATCAGCCTAGGCTACAAAGTGAGCTCAAGGCCAACCTGAACTGCATAGCAAAGACCCTGTTTCAAAAAGAGAAAAAAAAAAAAAAAAAAAAAACACACTAAGAAATGAAAACCCAAATGTTCCATAGTTATAATCACTGCTCCATTCTCCCTGTTCTGTTTTATACTATGTTCATATTTGGGCTTGTATCCTGTCTCACATGCAAGAGAATACAGCAGTCTTATCAGGAGAATTCTGTCATCTGGTGTTGTCTAACAGGCTGTTTGATCATTTCAACTTGAAGCTCATCTATCCCAACAATTTCCAAGCAACCCTGTAGGACACTAAACCTAAGTGAAGGACCCTGTACCTAAGTGAAAACCAACAACAAATAAAGATCTCACACATCTAATAATCCTAGCACTTGGGAGGCAGAGGCAGGAAGACTGCTAAGAATTCGAGGCCTCCCTGGGTTACACAGTAAATTCAAGATCAAGGCCACCACTACATAGCAAGACTCTGTTTCAAACCCCTCCAAAAAAAACAGTCCTAGAAATGGAGAACACAGACCTTCAGATTAAAAAAATCCATCAAGCACCCAACATCATGAATTAAAACAATGGACTCACACCAAAGCCTATCCACTGAAAAATTTTTAAATTGAAAAGATTAAATGTCCAGGAAAGGAAAAACAAAAACACAACAGATTAGTTAAAAAGACTAAGAAGGAACAGAATAATAGACTACTCATGGCATCACTGTAAAAGCTCTGAGGCACAATTATTTCAAATATAGAAATCTATGCTTAGCAAAATGCTGTACAAATGAAGAAAGAATAAATATGAGATCAAAAAGCAAGACCACCAGGAAAGCAGAAAAGCTGCAGGATGAAAGAGGTGTAGATCGAGGCTACAGCTTAGACTGGAGCCAAAGAACAGAAAGTTTTGAAGTCAGGGCTCTAGGAATAAAATGAAACCAAATGAGTATCTGACGCATTTGATCATTGAAAAGTAATGACAGTATAAAATAAATCTTATTCAGCACACAATGATGAGGACAAGTATACAAAAAGCAAATGAAAAATTTAAGTTAGTCCAGAAGAAACAAAAAATAGATGTGATACGAGTAATATGTTTGATCATTTCACAGTGGGTCACTTAATCTCTGCAATTAAAAAAAAAATGAAAACTGTAAGGTACATAAACGATTACTCTTTTCTTTTTTTTTACATCTACATTGGCTCAGCAAAACAATTACTCTTGATCTGATTAAAATTATGTAGCCTACTATAAGCCTTGTGTGATGGTACACACCTGGAATTCCAGCTACACAGGAGATTGAGACTGGAGGATGTTAAGTTTGAGCTCTGCCTGGGTAATTCAGCAAGACCCTGTCTCAAATTAAAAGGCTGAAGATGTAGTAAAGTGGCAGAGCACCCATCAGTTCAGTCGCTAGAAAAATAAATAAATAAATAAATAAATAAAGCATATAGTTAAATTGGGGAAATAAAAAAGAACAGCTACAGAAGTGAAAAATTAGCTGGGTGTGATGGTGCACACTATACTCACAATTGCCCAGCTACTCAGAAAGCTGAGACAATAGGATCCCTTGAGTCAATAAGCCAGAGTCCAGCTTGGGCCACACAGTGTAAAAAGAGTTCAAAATGGGGCTGGGGATTTAGCTCAGCAGCATAAGTGCCTGCCTGGCAGGGCAAGGTGATCAGTTCAATCCCCCATACCAAAAAAAAAAGTTCAAAATGAAAAACTATAGGCAACAGAATTGTGAGCAAGGCAGGAGACTCATGTCCATTCTGTCATTGTTTTTTTTTTTTCTTTTTTCTTTTCTGTAGGTTTATTTTATTTTATTTTAAAGAGAATAAAACTAAACAGAATAAAGCCAATCCAAACAAAACAGTGCCATGTGCAGGCCGTTGTGGGAAGAACCAGATGTCAACCTTTTCCCATGAGTGGGTGCCATTTGTGGACTGTGGGGGAGAACAAGAAGCCAAGCCCTTCCTGGAAGTAAGCACCATGCATAAGCCACTCGAGGGAGAACCAGACACCAGCCTTTTCCTGTGACTCAGTGCCATTTGTAGGCTGTCGGGGACGAGAACAAGAAGCCAATAAGAACACAGCGCCATGCATGGGCCACTGAGGCCAATGCCTTCCAGTGTATGGGCTGGGAGACCAGAAGAGCCAAGGTTCGACACCCTCTACTCCCATAAGTAACCGGCTGATCCAGAGAAACACAGGCTGCAATGATAGCTATTGAGGTTGCTTGTAGTGTTTAGTGTTACTTTGCAGGTCTAAAGCTGGTAGTAGTCTGATCACCTATTCAGAGGATAACAATAAGCAATGTAGCATCTCTGGGGGAACCTCCTTCTGACGGTGGCAGGCACTGTTAATTCCCTATTAAAGATTAAAAAAAAAAAAAAAGACAAAAAAACCAAACCAATGAATGCAATAAAAACTTCAAAACAAGATAGTAGTAAATCAAGACTGGGGATTTAGCTTAGTGGCACAAACACAAGCCTGGCAAGTGCGAGGTCGTGAGTTCAATCCCCAGTACTGCCAAAAAAACCAAACAAACACGATAGTAGTAAATCCAAAATGGCTACCATAATGTATCTTGTTATCTTTGAAACAGCTGCTGGCCATGCCATCAGATATAATAAAATCAAACAAGACAAAACACAATAAAACCCAACCAAAAAAACAATGAAAATGACACAGGACTTCAAAACAAGATTAATAGGCTGGGGATCAGTTCAGCGGCATAAATGCCTGCCTGGTAAGCACAAGGTTATGAGTTCAATCCCCGATACCAAAAAAGAAAAAGAAACAGCAAGTTGGCTTGCAGTCAGGCTTCAAAGGCCAAGTCTGTCAAAACAAGATAATAGGAAATCAATAGTGACCACCACAATGCCTCTCGTTATCATCAATATAGCTGCCCCTAACATCAGACACAATAAAGTCAAGCAAAACAGGACAGAATAAAACCAATCAGTTTTTTTCTTTACACTGTTTGGTTTTAAAAAATTATTTGCATATATCATCAATGTCAACATCATGGTTGTGACACTACACTAGAGATTTGAAAGATGTAACCACAGGGGAGAAGTGTGGAAAGGGTAAATGTGATCTTTTTACATTACTTCTTGTAACTGCATTTGAATCTATAATAGCCTCATAATAAAAAGTTTAATTTTAGGGGCTGGGGATTTAGCTCAGCGGCATAAGCGCCTGCTTTCCAAGCAGGCAGTCGTGAGTTCGATCCCTGGTACCGATAAAAACGAAAAAGACCAAAAAAAAAAAAAAAAAAAAAAAAAAAAAATCCAATGGAAAAAAAAAGTTTAATTTTGGGAAATGCATATCAAAACTCATTAAGATTCCATCTCACTCCAATCAGAATGGCTGTCAAGATATAATCTTGTAATAAATGCTGAGGAGGCTATGGGAAAAAAGAAACCCTTTCGTACTGCTGGTGAGAATGTAAATTAGTATGGCTACTATATGGAAATCAATACAGAAGTTCCCAAAAAACTATAAATGGAGTTACTCTGTGAACCAGCTATACCACTCCTTGTTATGTATGCAAAGGGATTAAGGTCAGCATACTATAGCGAGACCTGCACACCCATGTCTATGGCAGCACAGGTCACAAAGGCCAGGGTATTCAACCAGTCAGGTGATCATCAATAGTAATGGATAAAATCAAATGTGGTTAAAAAAAAAAAAAAATCAAATGTGGTATACACACACAATGGAGTGTATATACCCCATCCATAAATGAGTGTGCATATACTTACCTATAAAAAAAGAATGAAATTTAGTTATTTGCATAAAATGGATGGATTGCACATTATGATGTAGTTCTCCCTAGTAGATGGAATCTAAAAAGATGAAAAAAAAAAAAAAAAAAAAAGATGATGAAGAAGTAGAAAAAAAACTTACCAGACAACAGAAGGGGAACAAGGGAACAAGGTGGGGTGGGGGTGTGTGTGAGTGGGTAACAGGGATGACTATGATCAAAATACACACACTGAAAGAAAAAAAAACGTGAAACTGGGGAGGAACAGGACAAGGGAGATGATGGGGGTGATTAAAGTATGTTAATAGCATACTCAAGTCTACCAAAATGAAACTCACTGAACTGTACAGCCAGTATGTACTAGTAAAAAATGTGAGGAAGGAAACGGGTCAAAAAAGTATAATTAAAAAAAACAAATAGGAGGGGGTTCCTGAGATATAGCTCAGTGGCATAAGAGCCTGCCTGGCAAGTGTAAGGTCCTGAGTTTCATTCCCAGTACCAAAAAAAAAAAAGCTGTAGCTGGCGTGGTGGCACACCTCTAATCTCAACACATAGGATGCTGAGGCACCCACACAGTGAGTTTAAGATCAGGGCGAACTAGACAGTGGGACCTTGGTCTCAAAAAATAAAAAAATTCACAAAACCATATGGGGAGGAGACAAAACGGTCGGAAAAGCTTCTTGTTCCCCAGCCTTGTGGGCTATAATAAATACTCGAACATACCTCTCATAACCAGAGTCCTGAGGAAAGCGGGGCGCTTTTACAGGAGTTAGCATTCAGGAGCCTTGGTATAAGACACAGGCTGATGAGGACCCTGCATCTCTACCAGCCAGTGGAGACTCTACTATTCAACAAAGAGGCAAGATGAAGAAGTTGTGTCATCAGTCGGGGCACACAGTCTGTCACACAGCAGCTGGTTTGGGTGATGCAAAGCAGACAACTCTAATCTGAGGGAGCACAGAGGCACTGCAGCCAGTCAGGAATTCCTGACTGCATGCTCCCTGCTCTCAGACACTTCTTCCGTTCAAGACTGGGAAAGAAATCTGATATAAAGAGGTCCTGAGTGGACAGCAGGGGACAAAGCTGTGTTAGAGAAAAAGCACACTTGGCCATATTGGAACCTAGGATGCTGGGAAAGAAAGCAACCTGCTCGCCTCCCTAGTAAGCAGCCATGAGCCTACCGAGCGTGTGGGCTGAGAATCAAACATCCCATCCTGCTCCCCCCCCCCCGCCCCCGCCATTAGCAAATAGGAGCCAGAGGTCTCAGCATTTCTTGGGAGGCTGACCATATGCAATACAGCAAATATGGGGGATTTCCTTCTACCTTCTCTTTGAAGGTAAATATTGTTATCATTGCTTTGCTTTGTTCTGGTTAACTGTATTGCTCTATTCAATATTCTTTTTTGATAAGTTCTATAATGTTTTGCATTTGGTTTGATTTTGCTATACTTGATTGAATGGACAACTAATATGAAGATAATGAGATATACTATGGTACCTATTACTGTTATCCTGGTAACCTGCTGTGACGTTCTATACTAATTTCACTGCATTGTCTCAATTGGCTTTGTCCTGTCTTATTCTGTTGTATTTTACTACATTCAAATAAACAAAAAATTAAAAAAAAAAAAAAAAAGGAAAGCACACTCCCCCACTTCCCTTTCTCATATGTGCTCTCTTTTCCTTTCAATACTATTACATTTTTTTCATAGTACTAAGGATTGAACCCAGGAGCACTCCATCTCTGAGCTAGTTTCTCAGTCCTTTCTTTAAATTTTGAGGCAGGGTCTAAGTCACCCACACTGGCTTCCGAGTGGCGATCCTTCCGCTTTTAGCCTCTCAAGTAGCTAGGACCTCAGGCATGTGCCACGACATTGGGACTACTCTTACTGTCTCTGCACTTTCCCTCCCTGTGCTTGGAATCAAACCAAGGACCTTGCATATCCCAGCTCAGAGCGCTGCCAACAAGATCTGTGCCCCAGCCCCGTCTTTGCACTTCTGTCCCAATCACCTCTACTCGGTCTCTGAACACATTATTTGCCTCTTTCCTTTGCATCTTCTTCATAGACACTGAGGGAGCTAGACAGAATGCTGAGGGACAGTGTGCTGACAAAATCACGGAGTAGACCACAGGCTCCCAGTCACACATTATGCACAGGGAAGCAGAAGGGAACAACTATGTCACCCAGAGGAGGGACTTCTGGCTAAGGTGGAATCTGAGCTTCATACCCACTGGGACCGCTTCCCTAAATTCCAATAGAGCTCATTAGTTGGAGAAAATGGTATTTTTGCTGCAGTTGATTAAAATCTCATAAGACATAGTAGAGCAACATTTTTTTTAAAAAATGAGCTATTGCCAACAGCAACAAATCAGTCACAAATCAGAGGAACAGATTAGCAGATAGTTTTGAGGTAGGATTTAGTCAAAAGAAACATTTCAAGGGCCTGGGATTTAGCTCATCCGTGTAAGCACCTGCTTGGCTGCTAGAGGTTATGAGTTTGATCCCCGGTATCAAAAAAAAAGAAAAGAAAAGAAAAGAAAAAAAGATCCTAATAAGTTAAGTTCCTAAGAAACAATTTTCTCTTCTGACCATGGATTCTTTGAAATGCGCCAGCCCAGTGTTTCAACATGTAACATTTTATTCTAACCTTGGGTAAGCTCTGGGCAGAAACTGAATAGATCAGAGCTACCTGAGGCCAGGAATACAAAGAAGCCCATTTTGAGTCTTTCTTTTTAATATCTGCATTTCAGGAAAATATCCAAAGACAAGTCTATTACTAAACTTACAGTAATTCAATGCTGATACCAAACACCTCTGGAACTGACAGCATGGGGCATGGCAGCAAGCACCAAAAGAGGAGCCAGCCTTTCTGAACAAGAGCTGTCACCTGTGATGCCACTCCCTAACACAAAGAAGAGCCTCTGTCAAGGATGGTGGGCTAGGGACATAGCTCAGCAGTAAAAGCACCTGCCTGGCAAGCACAAGGTCCTGAATTTGATTCCCAGTACCCCAAAAAATAGTTAAAAAAAAAAAAAAAAAAGAATCCAAAGCAAGGTCCTGAGTTCGATTCCCAGTACCAAACCAAACAAAACAAAACGAAACCAAAAAAAAAAAAAACAAACAAACAAAAAAAACCCCAAAAAACTGATAATTAAGAATGGACCATGTCTCTGCATCTTAGGGAACGTCAGTGACTACTTACATGGAACAGTGGAAAGTGCCAACCGGGTTCTGCCGACAAATGTCCTCGTACTCTTCATAGATCCCTTGCTTCTGCCTGCTGTTAACATAGTCCACTAGCTCGTGGATGGTCATGGCATGGGGACCTGGGACATGCACTGAGTCCCAGTCTAAGGCGCACAGGATCTCATCAAAGGGATCTGGGTGGCCATTCACCTGGGGCAGGAATTGGAAATTCCACGTGGCAAGGTTGATTCTGACGTACCCACCCAGGTTTTCTGGAAGGCACTCCCTGGGCAAGTGCTGGGTAACCTCAGATGACTTTAATATCTGAATCTGCAAGGCCAGAAAGAACATGTGAGTATGGGGGAGGGGAGTGACACACAGAGAGTGAAGAACAAATATGCTGGCATTAGCTTTGGGGAATGGGATGAAATTTGCTTGAAATACACAATGTGATCAGAAAATAACGTAAATGCTTAAGAGTTTTTTAAAATTTGTTAAAGGACATATTACTATTAATCTCCCTTTAAAAAAAAAAAAAAAAAAAACTCCCTCTTGCTTCAAATACACTTATCCCATTGTTTTCTCTATTTGCTGAAGCAGTTTTGGAAGTTTCCCTCCTATCTTTAGTTATGCTATCCTGGTTGCCTCAGTATCCTAAACTGATTCAAAATACGATCTTCCATGGTCATTCTGACTCTAGGGAAGAGCCAGAAGTCACCCAGTGCCACAGCAGGTGAATAAAGTAAATGAAAACACAAGGTAATGTTTTTATAAGCTTGCCTTTCTGTTGGATGGCACTTGGCAGAACCACTCACTATATTTTTTAATGATACTTTCTAAAGACACTCATGAAAGAAGGCTTTTAGTACAGTGTCAGAAAGTGACAAAAATGATGGGTAAATGTGTTTGAAGTGAACGGGACTATTTGGAGGGGGATTAATGATAATGTGCCTTTCATTGAAATGCATTTTTCAAATTCAAATTTAAACATCCACCATTTACTTTGATCACCTCTTGTACTATGCATAAAAGAAGCACACTGTCCAGTTCCAATACCTTGTTAAAAAAAAAAAAAAGAAGCAGACTGTAACTCATCTGCCTATAGTTAAAAGTCCTGTGAATTCTCAGATAAAAGTCTGAATTCACAGAACATCTAACATTTATTCCTGGAATTAGGGGCCCTGGTACAGATCTCCCAAAAAAAGGGATAATGAGCAAAGGCTGCTCAACACCATCACACACTGGCACTTTGCTCTCTTGCCACTGATAACGTGTAGGGAATGTTATTTTTGTTAGCCCCATACAAAGGCAACCAGTTCTTGGTCTTCAGTTGCATTTTATTCTCAGGTTGGTATGGGTGTTCAAAGACATTTCTATCCACACAAGACAGGGCTAGTCCCCAGTAGAGGGAGGCCAGGAAAAATCCTAGATAAGTAATCATAATACTTCATTCTGTTCTCTGCTTGGACTCAGCCATGCTGAGCCTCGATAGCCTCATGAATTCTCCCTGGAATCTCTGAGGAGTGGGAATGCTACCTCCTCCTGGAAATCCCTCCTTTCCTCCTCTGCCTCTGCAGGAAGCCCTTGCCAACAAATTGAGACTCTCCCTGGGTCTGCAGAATGGCCTGGTCCTCTGTCCCTTCTCTACCCTCTCCCCTGAGCTTTTTTTCCTCCTCAGGACCACCGCTCCTTGCTCCTTGTTCCTTGCTCCAATGGGTAAGGAGAGCCTCACTTAGGTTTAATTCCCAGGCCCAGCTAAGGATCAGGTGCTCTGTGGATTCTTAGTTTAGACATGCACTCATGAGTCCTGTAATTCAGATGCAAGATGTGCCTGAAGAACCCCTAACAGCGCTCTTAGGAGATCTCTCTCCTGCTGAGTCACAGTTCTCTAAGCGCCCTCTGCAGTACCCAAGTCTTCACTTGCCCCTTTGCGACCCAAGTCACCTTAGCCATAAAGACTGCAATGCTCACTTAACTTCATAATTCCTTACCACAATCTCTGCTACTACTTTTCCAAAACAAATTTTTTTGTAATTTATCCTATTATACCAATGTTTCATATACTTTCTCATGAAGGCTGTAATCAGTGGATGAACCATAATCTTTGCAGTCCTGAAACACTCAGGAAATTTAATAAAATTTAAATAATTTGAGTTAAAACTGGAAGCAGTGAGCTGTTTAAGAAAATACGACAGGAATAAAAGTAGGCGGAGATATTATGAAAGAGTCTCCCCTTAAAACTCTAGTGGTTAAAGGAATGGATGTGGTAGTATTAAGTGCTGATTTTGATTCTTGCTTTTTGGGGTTTTTTGATGCTAACTAGAAAGCCAGGGATTGTGTATGTACACACACTCTACCCTACAGCTATACTCTCACATTTAAATGCTGGGAAACACTGGAAGCCTGTGCAACTCTGGTCTACCTGCCCTTAAATACCTCTCTCCAGGATACTCTTCAGCCTCACTAACAGCCAGCTAACAGAGCTGCTCCCAGCACCTGGGGACCTCACAGGAGCTGACTTCACAGTAGATGAATGAAAAAAGAAAGCAGGGAACATGTAAAGGAGCAGAATGGGCTTCAGGAGCCAAGCTCTCAGGAAGGTAGGAAAGGCTGGCAGGATTTCGGCAGTACAGACAGGATGCTCGAAGGTGGGCTCGCCTTACCCTCTCCCGCACTTTGTCCTTCAGGACGCTGATGATGGAGTAGGGAACTCGGAACCAGAAGGGTGCACCCACGATCAGTACCTTTTTCAAGCGGGCTGGAAACGCTCCCTGCAGAGGGAGTAATAAAAGTTAAGCCTCCTAGGGCCAAGGACTCTTGAGCCAGTTTTTCTACAGCCTAATTCAGGTTTTGATAGCAACAAAGAATTTAGTTAAAATAAATAAGTTAGAAGCTGATTCACCTTTAAAAATAATGATGTTAGGGTCATGTTTATTACAAGTGTTATAGAACAAAAACTATGCCCAAATTTTTTCTTTCTTTCTTTTTTTTTTGTGCCAGGGATCAAACACAACCTCGAATTTGCCACTTAAGCCACTGAACTAAACCCCCAGCAAAATTTTCTTTTCTTTTTCTTGATTTTTCCAGACAGTCTCACAAGGTAATTTAGAGGCTGTTCTTAAATTCACTACGTAGCCCAGCTGGCCTCACACTCACACTGATACTCATGCCCCAGTCTTCTTAGTGCTGGGATTACAGGCTCATGCCACCACACCTGACTTATGCTAACTTTTCTGATGAGCAGTTATCCCACACATATCACACATCAGCCTACCTGCATCTATTGCAGAAAGTTGTGTGTGTGTGTGTGTGTCCATATGTGTGGTACTGGGGACTAAATCCAGGGCCTTCACACCAAGCTACACCCGCAGTGCCCAGTGGTTTTGCTGAGACAGGGTCTTGCTAAGTTGCTCAGACTGGACCCAAACTTGCAATCCTCCTGCTTCAGCCACTCTAGAGTACTAGGATTATAAATGCATGCCACTGCCATGCCTAGCAAGTTCTACTCATTAAATTTTTTTTGATATTAAGGATTAAACCCAAGCCTTATACATGCTAGGCAAGCAGCCTTACTACTAAGCTATGTACCCCACCCTTTGTTTGATTTTAAGACAAACCCTTGCTAAACTGCTAACACGGCGTCAAACATGCAATCCTCCTATTTCAACTGCCCAACTAGCTGGGATTATAGGTGTGCACCACTGTTTCCAGGTCTACTTATTAAACTTAAGGGAAAATTAGATTTTGAATAAACTGAACATAAAAGAAATTTCTTCTGTAACTTTTCACTTAGTCTGATGTTTGTGTATGCAGCATTTATTTTTTCACTCATTTCTTCCTCTGGGTATTCATTTATTCAATCAATTAATAAACATAATCTAGGCTGGAGATGCAGCTCAAAGCTAGATGTATTGCTTAGCATGTGCAAGGCCTTTGCTCAATCCCCAGCAGTGCAAATTAAGTAAATTCCTAGATAAATATGATCTGGTGTGGATAAGTAGCAAAGTGGTTCAAAATGGAGATACATAGGACTACACAAACTCAAGGGTGACTGATGGTTCACCCTTTACTCAGGGCTCTGTATCACTCAGCCATCGGTATCCCAACCCTGCTTGGGAATGGGATTCCATGCACTAAGCTGGCATTCTAACTCCTGTAGAGCCAAATAAACAGGACACTGGTTAAAAAATCTCCTACTCCATTCTCTTATTTCTTCTTCCTTTTTTGAGACAGGGTCTCACTATAAAGTCCAGGCTGGCCTTGAGCTCACATTGTATGTAACCCATGTTGGTCTCAAACTCATAGTGATCCTCCCACCCCAGGCTCCCATCCTACTCTATTCTTATTGAATCTACTCTTGTTGCTACTTCTATGAGCCTAATTCTCAAGCTGGTGTGTTACTCTTCATCGTGTTCTGTTACTCTTCAGTTCTATAGTCTGAGAACTCACATGCTCCCTTCATGGAGAATACACAGCATCCACATTGAAAAGGGTCTATTTAAGAAAGTCTAAGAACCTGTATCTGCCATTAAAGATGCAATAATTTATTTCAGATTCTAAATATCAAAAGAGCCCCTTTAAATGCCATAGCAAAAACTAGTTTGGAAAGCTGGGTGTGGTGGTGGATATCTACAATCTCAGCACTCAGGAGACTAAAGCAGGAGAATAGCTCTGAGTTTGAGGCCAGCCTGGGCTACACAGTGAGTTCAGGGTCAAGACCAGGTTCAACTATAAAGGGAGACTCTCTCGAAAAACAAAACAAACAAAAAATAAGCAAACAAAAAGTGAGTTCAAGGCCAGCCTAAACTGCACAGCGAAATCCTATCTCAAAACAAAACAAACCCCCAAAAACTCAAACATAAAAATTTACAATGGCGGGGTAAGTATACTCAAAGGAAAGGGTTGTGGTTTGGGTGGATTAAGGTGTCTTTTACAAATTATTTTGAGAATGTTTACATTCTCCATATTTTTCAAGAATGAAATTAGTTGGGGGGACATGTGACCTTTAAATTGAACACAATGTCTGAAGTTTACATCAACCCTAAGTCTTTTCCCAAAACAATAAAAAGGAAAAAGCCTGGCATTTGAAAGAGAGTAGAAGCTGGGCATGGTGGCACACTCCTGTAATTCCAGCACCCAAGAGGTTGAGGCAGGTGGATCACTGCAAGTGGAGACCCGCCTGGCTACAACGTGCCCCAGGGTCAGTCTGAACTGCATAGTGAGAGCCTGTCTCAAAAAAACAAAAAACAAATAAACAAAAAAAATGAGAGTGGAGAGCATCCTCCCTGGCCTACCTTCAGCAGGCTGAGGACTTTTTTGCCAAGATCCAGCTCAAAGTTGGTGTAATTAGAACCGCACATGTCATAGATAAACACCAGGCCATTCCTCTGCGTCTCAAAGCTGCAAACCAATCATTGAATAAAAACATTTATTCATTGCAAATATTTTATTCAAACCAATACAGATCCTTACTTGCTGTTGACTTGGAACTCTAGAAAATTATGATGAAGAAATTATTTGATTGGACTCTTCATAGGTAGCAACACCTATTTAGAACTGAGCATACACATTCATCATGGTGGCGGGATGGGGCCTGAGGGGTTACTAGAGATGACACCACCCTATCACTGGGCTATATCCCATTCCTTTTTATTTTTTCAGGTCTTACTGATTTGCCCAGGCAGGCCTCAAATTTATAATCCTCCTGTCTCAGATTCCCAAGTAGCTGGGATTACAGGCATGCAAACCATGACTGGCTTTTGTTTGAGATAAGGTCTTGCTATCTAATCCAGACTGAATTCACAATGTAACATCAGGAGGCCTTGAACACATCTTATATTTTAGGCTACCTCAAATTTACATTCCTGCCTCAGGCCTCTTAAAGACTGGGATTACAGGTGTGTACCACGATGTCCTGTTTTTCTTCCCCCTCACTTCATTCTTTTAACAAAATCCAAAACAGAAGTACCCACCCAGGAAATAACATGTTAAAAAATTGCTAATTCTGAGCCAGGCATTGGTGGCGCACTCCTGTAATCCCAGCACTTGGGAGGCTGAGGTAGGAGAATTGTTTGCAAGTTTGAGACCAGCCTGGGATACAAAGTGAGCCCTAGAACAGCCTGAACTGCACAGCGAGACCCTGTCTCAAAAAGACAAAAAAAATAAATAAATAAAAATAAAAAATACTGCTAATTCTAGTCAAACATGGTGGTGGTGGTGGTACAAGTACAAAATCCCAAGCTCAGGAAGCTGACTCAGGAAGCTGACTCAGGAAGCTGAGGCAGAAGCACAGCTGCAAATTCAAGACACACCTAGGCTACATAATGAGTTCAAGAGCAGTTTAACTACAAAGTCTTAAAATACAAAACCAAAGAAATCTAATATTAGCATAAAATCAGTGATATCACAAGGCCATGAATAACTTAGCACATAATTATTGAGACTAGCAGCCAGGCAAGGTGATGTACAATTATAATCCCAGAGTTCTGGGAGGCTGAGGCAGAAGGACCACAAATTTGAGCCCAGCTTCAGCAACTTTTGTGTCTTAGCAAGAGTCTATCTCAAAATAAAAAAAAAATTTTAAAGGAAAAGTATTGATAATAACTTATTAAAGTCACAGTAAAGAATTTTATTTATGACAAGTTGAAGAGGTGAAGGAACCAGTGAGCAAGTTAGGCCTTAAAGCAAAGGCAGGATTCAGTGAAGAGGTGGAGAGAGACGAGACCATTCTGGTTCAAGGCAACAAGGGGAAAAGGAGATTTTCCACTCACTGGGGAGAATTTTTGCTTGGGGAGTCAGGATCAATAATCTGAATGGCCCTGTGCTCCCCAAGTGGAAGTATAGAATTTCTCATCCTCTTTCCTGTGACTGATCATTAGATCTACTTTCCAGAATAAAGATATTCTGAAATGCTTCTGTAATGAATGAAAGACTTTCTCCTCAGAAATCCAGTATTAAGGCTCCTCCTTGGAAGGTTTGGAGAGTGGGAACACTCAGGAAGGTGTGGCCAAGTCCTACTCCTTCCAGTGTGAGTGTGAACACCACAAGAGGCCCACACAGGGCAGTGTAATATTAGCATCATGGCTGCTTATTATCAGGAGGAGGCTGGTTTTATATGCTGAATAAATATAACCCAAGCAAAAATTATCATAAAAATGCTTTTGCAAGGCCAGGCAGGGTGGCATATGCCTATAATTCTAGAACTTGAGAGGCTGAGGCAGGAGGACTGCTGCAAATTCAAAGGCAGCCTGGATAACACACAATAGTCCTATTTTCAGACAAAGAAACTGAGGCCTCAGAAGGGCAAATGCTCTACCCCTAGGATATAATCCTAGGCCTAACTTTTTTGGGGGGGACAGGGTCTCACTAAATTGCCAAGGCTAGCCTTGAACTTCTGATCTTCCAGCTTCAGTCCCCACCAAGCAGCTGGCACAGCAGGTATATCCCACTACACTAGCCCCAGAAGCTTTGCGTGTGTGTGTATCTGTATCTCTTTGTATGTTTGTTTCTTTGAGACAAGGTCTTGCTATGTAGTCCAGATTGGCCTTGAACTCACTATGTAGCCCAGGCTGGCCCTGAACTTGTGGAGGTACTCCTGCCTCAGCCTTCCCAGTGCTGGGAATACAGGCACATGTCTCCACACCTGGCTCCAGAGGTTACTGATAGTAGCAAAAAGAACCAACACTGGTCATTTCCTCCTCTCTCTCCTCCAATAAGCAATTCTTAATGCATTACCAGTTGCTGACAACTGACTTTCTTAGCTTCTGTTACCCTGAAATAGAGCTGAGGTGATGAAGACACAGTATACCCAACATCCTGATAGCACCTTGAAATACACCACACCCCAAGAACATGGGTTGCTTCCTATTGATAGCAATGTGTATCCTCGGGTAGGGAATTGAATCATGTCAAAAAACTGTCCACTGGAGAATTGAATCATGTCAAAAACTGTCACTTTCCTGTCTGGATGTGGGCCACCTACAAGATAACAGCAGTGCTCACCTATCAACAGCTCTGTCCAGCAAGTAAAACAGTGCCTGGAGGACCACGTGTTGGACTGACTTGTGGGGATGGTGCAACCTGGCAGTGAAGAGGGCGATGGAGGCTCCTGTGGGGTCCCGAACATTCTAGAGCAAAGAAAGCAGGAAATATTCAAAAGTCAAATGGGAAATGCAATTGTCACTAAGGTTTCTACCCTGAAGAACACTTGCTGCATGAAGAGAAGGGTACTGGCAATGCTGCCTGGATCTGCCTCTGCCCAGAAAGAGAACAGTAGGATCCTCCTAGGCCTGATTCTCTCAGTGCCTACTGAACGATATTCTTGTGGTAAGGAAAAAAAAAAAAAAAAAATCACATTTTCATAGATTTTTTTTTTTTGAAGAGTAGATATATTTATTGAGAGAAAGAAAGCTTCTATCTGAAGAGAGACAGAAGGGGTCCCGAGTGGGCTACCAAGGAATTTTCATAGATCTTAAACTGCAGAGGAATCCAAGGATGGTTCTGCATGAACTTTGTAACTAATTTTCCAGGAAGGATGAGAAAAAAGCCAACAGCAAGAGACAATCATACAATAGGATCCTGGTTCCCATGCTGTCTACCTTACAAGCTCATTCTCACCTGAGGCCAAAGGTCCATTAAACAGGACAGGATGTAGCTTAGCACATACAACTTGAAGGCCGTAACTAACCTTCACAAACCAACAATGAAATTCTGTTTGTCTACTATATACGGGTTCTCTATAATTCAATTATTCAGCTATTACTTGTAATTATAGTAACTATGGTCAATAGTAATTCAGTTATTACTAGAACAATTCTGGGCCAAGCTCCGTGGCTACTTCACAACTGTGCTTTACTGTGACTAAGGTATCCAGGAAAAACATCCAACCAGGACCACAATTACAAAAAGTAGGAACAAGGCTGGGAATTTAGCTCAGCAGCTCAAGTGCCTACCTGGCAAGCATAAGGTCCTGAGTTCAGTCCCTGGTACCAAAAAAAAAAAAAAGGCAGGAACAAGGCATGACAAGTCCATCAAGACTCACTAGGATGGTGAACTTCCCACTGAGGATCTCAGAACGGAGAGGTTCCTCATGAGGTTTCAGCTTTACGATGCCTTCCTTCCTTCGTGTCTCCTGAAAAGGAAACATAGCAAGATGAAGTAATATGAGGATAGTACTGCATATCCAGGCCAGCCTCATGTGACCCCTGAATCTCCATGAGGAAAATGGCAGAAGTAAACTCAACTGGGCATTCCTTTGGAGCCTTCTTCCATGTTAACTAAATGTCATCAGAATTCCTATCTAGAAGAGCCAGGCATGATGGTGTATCCTTAGTCCCAGGGCTCAGGAAGCTGAGGCAGCAGGATTGCCACAAGTTCAGGGCCAGCCTGAACCATATAGCAAGACTGTGTCTCAAAAAAAAAATAAAAACAAAAACTGGGCATGGTTCATGTCTATAATCCTCAGACTTGGGAAGTGGAGGCTGCAGGACTGCAGTCATTTTAAGGCTAGCCTGGGGTACACAGTGAGTTCAAGGCTGACCTGGACTACAGCAAGACCCTGTCTCAAAAAGGAGAGAGAGATAGAGAGACAGAGACCCTATGCAACAAAATATAGGGGGTAGAATCAGAGATAGAGAGAGACATATAGACAGACAGACAGACCCTATGCAACATTAGAATGCAGGGGGTAGAATCAAAGGACAGAGAGAGACAGACAGGCAGACCCCATATGTAACATTAGAATGTAGGGTAGAATCAAAGAGAGAGGGAAAGAAAGAGAGACACCCCCATATGTAACATTAGAATATAGCGGGTAGAATCAAAATCTTTAAACATGAAGCAGCACTGATCCTGCACCAGGACACTGAGATGGTGACCAATACTGTCCAGAGCTTGCATCCACACACAGCTGCCCAATGGAGGCCTCCCTATCTTACGGGAACTCCCTACACTGACCTCCAACTGTAGCACTGAGACCTCCTTCTGCTCACCTCCACTGGGTTCCCCATGCTGGCTTCCAGCTCCCTCACACTCACCCCACTGCAGTCCGATTTCCTCCCAATCCAGCCACTATGCTCCAAGTTCCTGCTTCAGCCACCAGGACCTTCACATCACTGATCCAAGTGGACATTCCAGTCCTCCCATTACATGACAAGCTTGACCAAGGATATTATCATCCTCTGCAGACTTTCCCTACCTCTTACAAAAACCCTTTTCTTGTTAGTATCTCTTCTACTCTTAAGTTCCCTCTGTGAGCATTTATTTCATTCACTCTGCAAACATTCAGAGAAATACGTGCCAGGCATTAAGCTAAGTGCCTGGTAAATAAAACACACCAGGTCTTTGCCTAACATCTTCTCTGACCTATCCCTAGATCAAACTCAAGTGCCTTCCAAGACACTTGAAGTCTGCAGTGAAGACTACACTAGTGGTGGATCAAGGGAGAGAGCAGTCCTGCGCAAAGTGTTCTGGTCCAATTTTCAGAATGATACTGGACCAAGAAAAGTGCAAAGTCTGAGGTGAGCACTGAACCCTACACATCTTCTGTTCTTTACACCCTCTTCAAACAACGACCTCTACACTTCCCATGGCTCCAATATCCAGTTCTACTTTCTGCATACTCAGATGGTTATTTTGATTTTAAAGAGTGCCCCCTCCCCGCTTTATGGTACTGGAAATTGAAACCAAACTCTCTGCACTGAGCTACACTCCCAGTTCTCTTTTGTCAAGTTAGTAAACTGCCAAGCTGTGCTCTTCCTGCCTCAGCCTCCTAGAATGCTGGGATTACAGGAATGTACTACCACACCAAGCTAGACCAGAGTTCTTTTCTGAACCCTAAGCTCATGTTTTTAACTATTTAGGCATCCCAAAGGCCCCTCAAACTGAACTCCTGTCTCCTTTCCACACACTTCTGGGCATCAATTTGGCAACACTGCTGCCATTCAACCTGTGTCACGGTGGATCTGCAGGGTCCCCTAGGACTGCACATGCTCAGCACTGGCTTGGTGGAAGGGGACTGGCTCAGAAGGCACTGTATTCACCAGTAACAACCCCAGGTGCAGAGCTGAAGGTCTGCTGGGAGGCAAGGGCTGGCAGGGAGGCAGAGAGGCGGTCCTTGGACACGCCAGGGACAGGGGCTCTCCCTCCAGCTCCTCCCTCTCCTCTGCCCCATTGGGGGGCCATTCTCCTCTGAGGCTGACCCTTCAGCCATGCCATTTTTGGATCTATGCCTGCCAACTGAGGACTGAAACATCTGAAACTGTGAGCTGTGATCAACCACTCTTCCTTTAAGTTCTAGATTGGGTGTTTTGTTTCAACGACAAGGAAAGTGACAACGACACCCACCCAAGTCAGACCCTGGACTCCTTGCTCCCTCTTCCCTCATACAGCGGCTTTAGCAACCTGTGCCACTCCTGTTACTTCTAGAGGTTGTCTGTTTCTCTCGCTGTCCCCTGACACTGTGCTTATCAGCACTGTCACTATCTCCTTGTGAGTACATCAGCCTTCCCACTGGTCTCCGTCTCCAGCACAGCCCTTCTCATGTATTCTGCAAAGCAGTGGAGAAACCTGTACAGAGTGCAGAAGTAACTGCTTCACTCCACTGTCAGTGTCTTCACAGTCTCTCTGACCTTCACTGACTGGCAAGTCCAGAATGGCCCTGAACTCACTATGTCAGGCTCATGCTGGCTGAGAACTCATGGCAATTCTCCTGCCTCAGCCTCACCAGTGCTGGGATTACAGGCCTGAGCCACGATGTCTGGCCAGTATTTTTCCAATAATGCTGCCAAGTAAGAAATTAAACATAGGCTGGGGATTTAGTTCAGTGGCATAAGTGCCTGCCTGGTAAGCACAAAGTCATGAGTTTGATGCCCATATCAAAAAAAAAAAAAAAAATCAAACACACACAAAATCAAACACTGTAATGACAGAGTCAAACTGAGCCCCCTTACAAAACAAAAATCAAAGATAAAGTAAATGCTGACAGAGCTCCATTACATGCTATGACATGGACAAAGTATCACAGTTGCCTCTTTTTCCCCCTAGGGTTAAAGCTCTTTTCCCAAACTACCTAAACCCATCAATCATCTGAGGCCAGGTCTCTAAAAATCCCAGGGCAGTCAGTGGAGCAGGTGCCCCAGAAGCCAGCAAAAAGTGCTTCAGCTCAGACTCCAGCAGGGTGCGCCAGTACTCCACACTAAGGCTAACGGCAGGCTTCTTCACTGTCTTAGTCCTCACAATGTGTCCTGTCCAACTCAGTGCATTAACGTGGGGGTTCCCGTAGCTGCTCCCAGACTCAGCCATTCCCAGCATTCCTGGACACAGAGCCACTCTCCCTGGTGGAGTAGAACAGCAAGAGAAGCCTGGGATCACAGGTCACCTGCCCAAGCCACATACTCTGTAGGAGTGGAACAGCTCGATGGCCCTGAGCACATTGAACTTCCTGGCCATGAGGAACTTGACAGCCACGTTCCAGGAGAGTGGGGAAACATTGTGCTGGATGGTCCACTTGTTAATTTCTTCAAGAAACTGCTTGGTGGCCTGTTGACAAGGAAAGTAAGAGTAATTAGTATGAACAGAACATGACCACTGAACCAAAATCAAACAGGAAAAACTATTATTCTTTCCCCAAGTCAGACTAATCCCAAACTTACTATGGGGTGGGGGTAGAGTGAGACCAAAGGGAAAAACAGGTGAAACCAAACACAGTTAAAATTCATGAACATCTTAAGGCCAGAAGCCAGAGTCCCATTCAAATAACAGGACTTAGCAGAAACAATGAGGGGGTGATGGGGCTCACTGGGCTCTATGTACAGGCTCAAAGCCAGGAAACCAGAGCCTTCTGGACACCAGTGTGCTTCTGGACAGAAGCCCAGAGCTGGGAGAGGATACGGAAGAATGGGGGACATTTTCATCTTCACCCGTGGCCTCAAGCTGGCATGATGCCTCTTTCTAGAATTCATACTAACACTGTTCCTCCTTGCATCACAACCCGTTTCTGCTTCAGGAGAACTACCCTTCTGTTTCTTTCAGGATGATTTAAATAGATTTTTTGGATGTACATTTGATTTGTTAAAAACTTTCTGCATGGCTACTCTGTCCCTTTCATCCAGAAACTTTTCTCAGCTGGTAGCCTTCAATATGGCCAAACAGATGAAAATTCTGAACTTTAATCATATCCCTACTACCAGTCAACCTACGGTTAGGGTGTATTTATCAATATTGAGAACCTACTATTTGTCAAACTAATTCCTGTTAAGAAGAATAAATCATACAAAAATGACATTTACTGGGGGCTGGGGATTTAGCTCAGTGGCATAAGCGCCTGCCTTGAAAGCAGGCAGTCATGAGTTCGATCCCTGGTACCGATAAAAATGAAAAAAGCCAAAAAAAAAATGACATTTACTCAACAGGCATGAGACCAACTTCCTGTATGATCATAGGCAAAGTAAACCTTGCTTCAGCAATTTTTCAGCTGAAAAATACAAGGGGAGAGGGTAACAGCAGCGATCGACCTACTTCAGAGATTTAGGAAGAGGACCCACTTTCCACACACAATCCAAACTGTTTAAACGCTTCCGGGAGAACATGGCGGACAGATAACAGCAACTACCGGCGGCTCTCTGAAAGACTCGGCTCAGAAGCCAGGAATGGTGCGGACTAAGGAGACATAAGCAGGTGGAGATATGCTCTGCTGACTCAGGAACGAACTGGGCTGAGAGAAGCCAACTTGGAATGCAGTCCTGGTGCTAAAACAGGAACAGAAAAGACTCGGTGTGGAGGCTGGAACCGCGCCATTGTAAGCGGCGATTTGGGTTTCCCGCCGCGCAGCGGCTGGCTGCCTCTACAGTGGCTCGGCAAGGGGAGAGACGTGCAGAAGCTCTGAGAACGGCAATCTGCGAACGGCAGGGAGGCGTGCACTGACTTATGGTGAGGTGAGTGAGAGAAACTGACACTCTACCACAGTTTGACTCCAGCGGAGGACTTTCTGGGCCCGAGCAGTCCTGCGGGAGCAGGGCGCGGTGGCGACTCCAGCCACACATCCTCCTCTCGGGCGGGATTGGTGAAAAGTGCCTGGCCTGCGTGACGCTGCCGGCGGACCTGGTAGACTGTCCCAACCCAGATCCCAGAGCCTGACGGTGGCCGGGAGGGGAGACGCGTAGGCTGCCTGGTCCGTAACTCCCTGGTGCGCAGCGGTGAGCGGGAACACCTAACTGGCGCAATTCGATCAGGCTGTGGCTGACTGGGAGAGAAGCTGGGCCTCTTATATAAGCTTGCATATATAAGGAACAGAGAAGAAGAGGCAGCATGGGAAGAGGCAGCAACAAGAAAGGCTCCTCGGCCCCCAATTCTGAGAAACAGGCAATAGCAGACACCGCACCAATACACATAAGGCACCATATAGAGAGCCTCATAGACCAATTCAGGAATGAAGTTATCAACGACCTGAAGCTAGAAGTATGCAGAATAGTTAGAGAAATGCTAAGCACCACCCAAGAAAAAACAGGTGGTGGAATGGAAGAACAGAAAAAAAGGGGAGAATTGTTTGATGGAGAAAACAGAGAAAGCATAGAATACGTGAAGCAGGTTCAAAGGGACTACCAAGATACTAAGAAGTCTATCGAAGACTGGCATAACAGCTTGAAAGAAACTAAGGACAGACTATCTGAACTGGAGGGCAGACTTGTAATATGGGAGAATGAAATGAAAAACTTCTTAAAAATAACAAAGAAACAAACAGCAATAATACAAAGACAAGAAGATGATAAGAGGATCCATAACTTAAGGATTAAGAACATAAAAGAAGAAGTAGGGATGCAAACAAGTGAACTACAAAAGCTACTCACAGAAATAATCCAGGAGAATTTTCCTAATTTAGCAAAAGGTAAAGATACTCAGATGTATGAGGCATACAGGACCCCAGCTACCTACAACCCAAACAGAGCAACACCCAGGCATATAATAATAAAAATTCCAGAAATTCAATACAAGAACAGAATATTAAAAGCTGTAAGAGACAAGAAACAGACCACTTACAAGGGAACACCCATCAGAATTACAGCAGATTTCTCTGCACAAACCATCAAATCACGAAGAGCGTGGGGGGAAATAATTCAAGCATTGAAAGATAATAATCTCCAGCCAAGATTGAGATATCCTGCACAACTGTCCCTGGAAATTGATGGAAAAACAAGGTGCTTCCAGGATAAAGAGGAACTGGGGGAATTTGCAACCACCAATTCAACTCTACAGAAAGTATTGCAGGATATTCTAAAAAAAGAAAAATACAAAGAACCCAGAAATAGTGGCGGGGAGGCCACAACAAATGGAGCAGAGAACAAAATGAAGAAGACAAACTGACAGCTACTGACAGAAAAAGAGCTTAACAGAAATGAGGCAGAGAAGATTGGATGATAGGAACAGCTATTTTGGAGAAAATGACATCTTAATAGGTAATACTGATTTAGTATCATCTTGTTTTGAAGTCTCATCTAGCTTTTGTCCTTCTGTCTCCAATGGTCTAAATAGGCTGTATCTTATTGGATTTTATTATGTACGATAGTATAAGCAAAAACCTTTTAAAGACAAGGAGATTATACAGAAACCATTGTTCATTTTCTGTTAGTCGATTCTAAATACTCTGTAATGCTGTCATTCTCTTGAATGGTTTTACATTGTTTTGATATACTTAATGCTACAGTATACGAAGTTGTACTCAAGGATTTCAAAGAAAGAAACAATATGGTAACTACTTTTAGGTTAGGATTATCTGGCGGTGAAACACTATTCTGCTTAAATGGTTATGTTTTGATCTGCGCTGTTTCGTTGTTATGCCCTCTTTTATCTCAATCTCCACTCCATTATTTACTTTTTTATCTTTATCCTTTTAATTAAAGGAAAAAAATAGCAGGATATATTATAGTAACCCATTTTGACTTTTCATTACCTTGATTTAAAGCCCTGTATTACTCTCACCATCTGGTTTTTAACTGATGTTCCCCTATTCTGTTTTGCTGGATAGTATCAGGTTCGAAAGTTTAGGCATCAGCTGTGAAGATAATGAGATTCATTATGACGCCCATTCTTGTTGACTTTTAGCTACTTTTGAAGACCTACAATGTCTCCAATGTTTTGGTTTTGTCGGTTTTATTCTTTACTGTTTTGTTCAATTGTATTATAACTAATGATATAGGCAATTCTATTAGAGATAGCGGGAGACATTATGGTAACCATTGTTGATCACCTGTATTATGTTTTTACATTATCTATTATGTCCACCCTTTTGACTTGACCGATTCTGTTCTGTTATGTCTCATTTGGTTTTACTCTCTTCCAAAAAAGTAATAAGAACTGTGGGAGCAATGAAACCCAAAATGTGTAATAGTCATGGTACAAAAGAGAGGAAAAGAAAGTGCTCTAAACTATATAACTGCATGTATATTTAAGTGTATAAGATAGAAAATGATATCACAGAGTTTTATTGGATCAATGAACAGAACTGTTTGCAGTATCATTGATGGAATGTCCACTTTACAAGCTTTAATTTTGTGACTTGAACAATTATTTCTAAGATGACAATATGTAATCCATTAACTAGTGATTTCCTACTGTTCATTTTTTTTCTGTAAATCTGTATAACTTGTACCCTTTCCCTGCTTTTTTTTTCTTTTCTCCTTAAATAAAATTAAAAAAAAAAAAACAAAAACAAAAACAACAAAAAAAAAAAAAAAAAAAAAAAAAAACAAACTGTTTAAACAACAGACTGGACTTCAGGAGACTCAGCATACCTCTCACAGCCCCAACCCACCCCCATTTCTAGGAAGAGATGCAAAGAGCCTTAGAGATTGTGCCTGAATGTCAGAGCCTTCCAGCTATAGCACAGTAGCTTAAAAGCTGCACAGCAGGGGCTGGGGATTTAGCTCAGCGGCATAAGCGCCTGCCTTGCAAGCAGGCAGTTGTGAGTTCGATCTCCGGTACCGATATAAAGGAAAAAGAAAAAAAAAAAGCTGCATAGCAAAGCCAATGGGCACAGAGCATGGAAACAGCCAAGGAATAAAGGCCGGAAAGAAAAACTTTCAGATCCGCTCAGCCCCACAGCAACTATGCCAGACAAAAGAAGTGAGTTCAGGGGAAGACAGCAATTCAAACCCAAAATGCGCCCCAAGGAAAAGGCTCCATGGCCTCTTAGGGATGAGTGGTTGGCGTCAGAATGAGAAAAGATGGAAAGAAGTGGTCACATAAAGATTCCAGGAAAAAAACCTCAGTCATTCAGGAGGTCCCCTCAAATTCTGTAAATGGAATCTGTGTTTTGGAGAACGTATTAGCTTTCCAACCCAGCCCTCTAGTGGGCTCCTCTGATACTGCTTACAGCACACAGCACAGAATAATCAAACATTTGCCCACACGGCGTACCCAAGCATGTCATGTTCCTAATAAAAATAATGAACAACCCAGCTACTCAGGAGGTTGAAGCAGGAGAACAGCAATTTCAAGGCTAGTCTGGAAAACTTAGACCTTATCTCAAAATAAGACTGTCTAAA